CAGTGGTCTGAGACCACTGCCCGCTTGTAATTGAGTGTATATATAATAGGGCTGTTTAGGGGAAAAACACACCCAAACAAGTCGATTAAAAAGGATGTCACAAAGGACTATATCATTCATTGATTTTCCATATAAATTTCTTAATTCAGCACAAAGTTGATATAGATAGGTTTTACAGAACTGTAATAGACTCACTTATAGTAACACCCAAAGTAGGATATAGGATTATAAAGATAAAAAAGAAAAGTGGTTCCTGGCTGGTAAGCATGTGGCTTAGGCACATGTGTAGCTAGGCAAAAGTTTCAACGGTCGTCATTGTGTAACAGACCAACTACTGGGCCTATATGTGTGAAATGTGTTAAACTAGATTTTATTTTAAGTGACGTTTTTCAAAGATCAGTTTTGGGTGCTAAATCCCCTGAACCAAGACTATGTAGTCTGATATATGGATTTAGTCATTTGGTTTGATATCCACAATGATTCATTTGCAAAAATCCAAACGTGGCTGGAGATTGGCAAAATATCATAAATAGTATATGTATTATTATCAGCATTACTAATAAATGTAATACACATTGTCATTATCCTTCTTTAATTCATAAAGTGTTTAACTCAATAGTTTGTTACATTTAATTAAGTATTTTAGGTGTAATGGAAAATGTTGTATTAATGTATGCAAACGCTGGTGAACCTCATAAATAAATAAATTAAAGGCTGCTTTGCTATGACTTGTTGTGGAAAAAACTTGCTAAAGTTGGGTTGCCTAGGAAATATTTAAATATTGTTATGGAAACCAGATCAATAATGTACGATGGGATCGGACAATGTCAAGATCTTATAGATTGGAGAGCGTGGTGAGACTGGGGCGTCTGAGCTCCCCCACGTTCTGAATGAACTGGTAGACGGGCTCAGCAGCGTAAACAATATAAGTTACGCAGACGATATGGTACTGCTGAGTGCTTTTGTTTGTGGCTTATGGAAACTTGTAGCTATTTGTGATAAGTATGCCACTTCTCATGGCTTGATCTATAATGTCAAAGAGTCAATTAATGGTTTTTAGGCTGCAAATAAATAATATGATAGCCTACCACCCGTTTTGCTTAGTAAAAAAGATCTTAAAACAGAGTATACCTTTAAATATCTTGGTCATTTGTTGACGATGATGATAAAGAAAGGGAACGGAGGGCGTTGGCAGTGAGAGCAAACATGTTGGCGCGTACGTTTGTAAAATGTTCACGAGATGTTAAAATTACCCTTCAGAGCCTTCTGTACAACGTTTTGTACAACGTGTAGTTTGTGAGCTAACTAAATTCAACGGCAACAGAGTTCAATACAATAATGAGTTTAGGATGCTGTTGGCTTGCATCACTTTTGCGGTGCGTCAGAAATGTTTGCTGATACCAGAGTTGATTCTTTTTATGCAACTATGCGCAAACGATGCTTGTCCTTAGTACGCAGTTTGCGGGGAACCACCAACAGTATTCTAAACATGATCGCTGGCAGACTGGACTGCTCATATATACGGAGTTGCTGTGCCGTGTGTAATGGCATAGCATTAGGATATTTTTTTTTTTGACTAACATAGTTTTACACATCTATCTACTAACAATGTGTAAGTTACTTGAAAATAAATAAATAAATATTATAAAATAAATTAAACAGCAGATTATTTTAATTAGTTTTATGAAACGTTACATTGACAATTTATTATAGACTGGCTGCTTTCTCGCGATTTCGTTCGCGTGAATTAATTAGCCTATGGCAACCTCGTGCGGTGCAGCTTCCCGTAGGTGAAATTTTTAAAATTGGTCCAGTAGTTTCATGTATAGGCTAGCATATTCAGCACAAAAAACTTTCCTTTTTAATTTAAGTCTCAAAGTATGTGTTTGAGATAATATTATTAAGTGTTTTCTACAAGAAAAAATAGATGTATTTAGATTTAAAAGTAAATGTAACAACTCGTTACAAAACGCTGACAGTTTAAGAAAGTACTTACGAGGGAGTAGTATTACACCGACACAGTGCAAAAACAAATAGTTCAATAACTTTCATAACGTTATATTAGCATAAAAAACTGGCCGTCCAAAAACATTGTCATAATATGAATTGAATAGAGAAAAAAGAAAATCTATACAGAGGTCTCTAAACATTATTGTAATTTTGACTGTATTTTTTTATTTTGAGTAAATCATCTCTACTCAAATAATTTATAATTGTCGGATGTTGATATGTATTTTTGACTGACTTTTAATTATAAAAAGATAAAACGATAATCATAATTTTATTCGAATTGTCGAAATTTACTGACCATTGTCAAACGGAAACTATTTACAAACTTTGCCAAATTTCGGAATCATAAATTGGTACCTTAAGTAACATACATTTCCGAGGGTTGAGGATAGAGGGTCCGACCGAGCAAATGACTCCATATAACAAGACAGTAACAAACAGTGTAGTTCATACAGCCGGTGAGCGGTTTTACCTGGTGCTTCAGCCATTAAGCCTTACCTTGCGAGACGCAGAAATATTTTTTTAAGCCGTTTTTATGGAACCCTGGGTGCACAAATAATACTAATTACATCGGTGTGGCGGCTTTATTTGAACACTGTGTTTCAAAGTCCTGTTTTATAATTTGATCAATCATGATTGGTTTGGGGTTTTATAGACCAATCCTGATTGAGTTGATGACCCACGTACGCAGTTTGAGAAGAAAATGTAAGATCAATTAATAAAATGCAGCCAGCATCAAGGGTTGTACGAAAAAGAACATACGAGGATAGGCGAGGCATTAATTATTGCACACGAATGGCGTTCCCTGGAACTGTTGGTTGATTTTTTTTATCTTACTGCTTATAATACATCAACTATGTTCATGTTACTGATTGAATGATCGTCGGCGGTCATCGCTCTCGCGCGGCGGCATCAGCTTGTCAAATCTGTGGTTTTGTTTTTGATTTCAGCGTGGGAAGTTGTTACTGGAATAGTGGGCTATGACATTTTAATATTCAATTATGCCATTAAAATGGCAATTTTTCAAGATATGTTCGGGAAATATTATATATCTATTTGAGTTCTCTTTACAAGCATTGAATATTTAAAACTATGTATTTATAAAATTAAATCTAATATTCACACAACTATGTTCAATAATTAACTGTAATATTATAATTATATGCAATATCTTCTTATGATCAAAATAGGTCACAATTCTAAGAATGGATGTGTCACTAAGTCTCCCACGAAACTATAAATTTATTTGACACTTGTTGAATAAGTGTATTTGTTGCAGTCCGAGGAAGTTCCTTGACAAAAATACGTAGATTATTTACACGATATGCAAACCCGAAACAATATAGAAAAGTTCATTTTCTACATTAATCAGACTGGGAGTCAAATCAGGACGTCAGCTATGGCGGACGACACCATGAAATCGGCGTAAGAGCCACTCGGCAAACATGTAATTTTGATAGAATTATTAAAGAACCCAGCAATGTATTTTGCTATACTTAAAAATATAAATAATAGTTTATTGTCTAAGTCAGCCTTTCCCAAAGTTGGCGATAACGCCCCTTGTGGGTGCTGCAGGCATAAAGGGGAGCGGTCAGAGACCGAGAAAAAAATGGGAGCGTTGTGTAGAGGCTTGGGGATGGGTGATTTGTTATTTCATTTAAATACTAGTGGCTGCCAGCGACTTCGTCCGCGTTTTCCATTATTTCTCGGCTCTTAATAGTTGCAGCGTGATGTTATATAGCCTAAAGCCTTCCTCGATAAATGGTCTATTTAACACAAAAAGATTTTTTCAATTCAAACCAGTAGTTCCTGAGATAAGCGCGTTCAAACAAACAAACAAACTCTTCAGCTTTATAATATTAGTATAGATATAAAATAAAAATCATGTCAATCGGTCGCTCCGTTTCGAAATTAAAGTAGACACAAACAAACAAATAAAAAGGCAATAGACATACTTTTGCATTTTAATAGTTATTAGTACTCCTAGATAGGTAATTTTTGTAGATGGTAGACTGCGGGCAATCATGTTTTAACAAGTTTTTGTTAAAAACCCCGAATTGTGCATTCCTGTATCAATCGGCTTGTTCATATAATATTTGTTCTTACTTGTTGAGTACGATTAAGCGTCGAATGAAATAAACGAGTATGCATGTGTGTTTTATTGTTTTGTCGGTGCGTGCTGCTTACGGAATTCTGTATAAACAACGTTATATTTACTTTATTTTTATTTGTAGTTTCGCGAATAATAGTAGATAAGCAATACCTACTTGAGTTCAACACTTACGTATTTCACAAAACAAAAGAATGGCGTAGGTAATAAAGAAGAGACGGCAATACTGTACGGAAGCCTTCAAGACTGCAAGATCATTTGAATATCATCATCATCATCATCAGCCCTTTTACGTCCCCACTGTAGGGGCTCAGGCCTTCCTTATGGATGGTTAAGGAGGATGGGCCATGATCCTCCACGCTGGCCCAATGCGGATTGGAGAGTATTAACGACTACAAATGCAACCGTGATCAACGGCTTAACGTGCATTCTGAAGCACGAAGAAACTCGAGATAATAAATTTTTGGTCAACCATCCCGTGACCGACCCTTGTGAAAGTTGCTTAACAATAACGATGGCGGGCCGTGGCGCTTATCCTCTACGCCAGCTCTACTAATATAATGCATCCAAATAAGAAAGAAAACAATGTAGCATATTTTCAAGACCTAAAGAAAAAGCATAATACTCAGCCAAGTGTAGCAAAACTATTTTGGGCGGCTGCTAAACAAGATGACGACGGATTTCGAGCTTTGTATAATAAATATCACTTTGTTTATTGCTCAAAAAAGCAAATCGCATAACATCGGGAACTACTGTACTTAAAAAACGGGCGGTAACATCATCCGAAAAATTCTAGTATGGCTGAAAACATCGAAATATCATCATGCGATTACCTAAGCACAAGTCAATTCTCAATTCCACTTTACCAACTAATGAAGCATTGTTGCTGTCTGACGTGAGGTTTATTTAAGATGAGAAAATATGTGATAAACTATTGTTTGCTAGAAATTTAGATACCGATATAAAAGGTGAAAGCATATTCCATAAATTGGAAAAGTTTTGTAATTAGTAAGAGATTCCCTTGAAAAATATTATATCAGTTGCTACGGATTTTGCTTCGACTATGACAGGGTGCCAGAAAGGCTTCGTAACGCACTTAAAAAACCAAATTCCAGATTTTCTTCCTGTACATTGCGTTATTCATAGACAACATTTGGTCGCTAGAAACTTAAGTGAACATTTATTTCAATCACTGCAATATGTCATCAAAGCAGTCAATAAAATCCGTAACAGCTCTTTGAATGATAGTTTATTTCATCAGCTTTGTGTTACTAATGACGAGGTATTTAACCGTTTGTTGTTTCATACTGAAGTTCGTTGGCTATCAAGAGGCGCTAAGAAAGTATTTAAAAAAAGAAAGCACTAAATAGCACTTCTACAAGATGGCGACTCTAGCAAAAATTGAATTTTGCAGGAAACGAATCGACCAAAGATAGTCATTTCCGTTCCTTTTAACTAATATATCAAAAAACTTAATTTCACAAATTTCGAAACATCAATACAAATACGAAAAAATACAAATAGAATATGAGTTGTTTATTGAGTTTTGAGAACTAATTTACTTTTACACATGAAAGAAAACCGGAAGGGTTGTCATGGAGAAATCGAGAAAGTACCGTAAAAACATATAGTTTGATTTCAGGAACTAATGTTTTTTTTGAATACTTCCTCATTGTCTGACTCGATTTTTCAACCCGTTTAACTCTTTGATAGAGTTCTTGGAAACTAAAGATACAGGATTGCACAACAAGCTCATTACATCAAAAAATGATATAGCTTACTCGACAGACATGTAATAAATTATTCAATAAATGTCCAACTGCAAGGCGATGAACTTAATTTAACTAAATCAAAAAACGTCGTTGCTGTTTTCGCAGCCAAACTGCTTCTACACAAAAAGAATATAGTTAGACGTGAGTTTCACAATTTTCTGAATTTATCAAAATCCTGCAGTAACGACGATTTACTTACTGCCAACATTTTGAACATCTCCATATTGACTTCGCCGAACGATTTCAGGACATTTTGAACTTGGAAATACCAAACTGGGTGTTGGATCCGTTTTTAAATGTCAACACAGCAATGTCACCTCACCTGGGAGAAGAACTTGTCGCATTGATAACAAAAGAAGAAATAAGAGTCAAGTTCAAAAATAGTTACACAAGAATTTTGGTTACAAAAATCGATCCCGCAATCGTACCCTGGATTGTGATCAATCGTTCAACAATTCTTGAAAGCATTCCCATCGTCATATTTATGAGAACGCAGATTTAGTGCTGTGGCAACACTGCTTAAAAAATAGAAATCGTTTGTATTTTACCGAACGTGGCGACTTGCGACTTCTTTCTTGAGTAAATTGGAACCTGATATCAACAGACTTATTAAACAGCATCAGATTCATCCTTCACATTAGTTTATATATAAGAATCAATTATGGTTTTCTTTTGATTAAAAGATACTCTGTTTCAATACTATCAAATTGCGTTTCAATAATCATTTGCATTGGCAGGTGTAGCCCGTAAGAGTTAATAGTAAAAGTCTAGTTTAAATCCGCTAATAAAGCTAACAATAATTAATTAGTCAAATTTGAAGTTACAGCGGTTTTAAAAACCGCTGTAACTTCAAATAGAACCCTGGTTTAAGTGAATGGTGTTTGGAAAATTTTAAAATTTTATTATTGCATATGCATTATGCTCAAAAAAAATTAAAAAGATTCTATTATTTTTCTAAAAAAAATCTTTAAGTTTCGTGCAACTGAGACTTTAGAATGTTTCATTTTTTTATTATAATAACTGTTTTGCAGTTAAGGCGTATCATTTATTTGACATAAGTATAATAATAACCCGATATTTCACATTATTGTCTCATAACTTTTAATTAAAAAATAAGTTCAATCAGCTATGAAGCAACCTTAATTTTTTACTGTAACAGCTGGCAGGATATTGTCGGATGTACTTACGGGTGCCATCTGATAGCTCACATATTGTTTTTGCGAGCACTGTTTACGTAATTTTCATTCCTATTTTCATAGTTATAAAGCTATTTTCTGTCACAAGAGAGCTGACGTTATTATTAAAGAGCTGACGTGCCATAGTGTAAATAATTTTTCGTAATAACGGTCTTTGGTTATGGTCAGTTAGTGATGTAGTGATGGTGATACTTGTTTTTTTATCTGTATATTCTGACATAATTGAACATTATTTTATTGATATATATACATATATTATATCGATGTTAGAATATTAATAATGATAAAGGTAAAGAAATTTATTTCCAATTAAATTAAATTAAATCTAATAATGAAATTCTAGTTTAAAATTATTTCTTATTTTAGTTTCATTAATTCGTTTCCGATGAAATAGTGCATCTAATATTTTGTTTTATTTATTATCAATATCTTCGTGTTCTGAAAGGGTTTAAAAATCGTGAATTTTGCGTGACGTACTTTATGGACGGCCCCTTTTAGTTACAGAACCCTTGAAATGGTTCATAGATGACTGACTCACTCACTCTTAAAAGAAAAGAGTGAATCATAGCCTATGTCACCCGCGTATGATGCAGCTTCCCTTAGGTAAAATAAATTTTAAAAAGTTTCTGGTGATTTCGAAGCCTATTCGATGCCAATCATTAAACGATTAAGAATATTTCCCCTTTTATAATATTAGTATATACATAGATGACATGAGAGTTATTACGAATGAAACCCTGGCGTTTCACTTATGTACAATGTTATTTTTTTAATTTATTTTCAGTGACGCACATGTTCGGAAGATGTCGCTGGGTGACGTGACATCAGCGCGCAGTTCACCTGCACCAGAAGCGTGTCCAGATTGTGACACCAGCGCATCCGTCACTTCAGACTTGCATAAGGTAACCATATCCTATTTCCTATTAATGTTATAAATGTGGAAGTTTCTTTGTTTGGATGTTTAGATGTTTGGATGTTTGTACGTCAATCACGCCGAAACTACTGAACGAATTTTAATGAAATTTGGTATACAGATAGGGTGTTAGCTGACTTAGATAATAGGCCCGCGTGGACCCTAGGGAACTGTTTAGTGGGATGACTTTTTATCCCACTAAACAGTTCCCTAGGGTCCACGCGGGCGAAGCCGCTGGCGAAAGCTACTAAACTATAAGTGTTACATTTTCCTTGTTTTTAATTCACGTATACTACACATTCATTTTTGATAATATATCACGAGTATTCTTAAAAAATATAATAATTTTTCATAAAGACAGGCGAGAGAAAAGTTATTTAATGATAGATTATGTGTATATTTAATTATCGTATAGGAAAATACTCAAAAACTGGCCAAGTTCGATGGGACACGCGAACGAATGATTTTGTATCATTGATTAAAAAAAAATGTTTTATGGTATACTCCCTTCAAAATTTATATTATTCTGTTTTTAATGGCGCAAAAAAAGTTACACAACAATACAGTAAGCATACAAAATGCTTAGTCGTATGCGGATGCGTTTTCAGCCATACTACCTACGTTACAGTGTGAAAGTAAGAATAACCGCAATGCTACCGTAATAGTCAATGAAGCAGAGAGAAATACAATTTTGTGATTCAAACGAAATAAAGCATCAAAACTTTTTAATTAGTCACTATAAAACACCGTGAAACTTTAGAATTGGTGATTAGACCATCATCATTTGAAAATCTGTTGCAGCCAATACAATTTCATTACCGAAAAATTAACAACACCCGTTTTCACTAACAAGGCATAGTTTAACTAGGAAACGCATAATCTTACGAATCGCCGAAGCAGATTATTTTAATTTCAAATAAACATTTTATCTTTTATAACTTTATATTACGTAAATGCCTTAACATTGCTAACGCCCTTTTTAACTATACTTAGGAGTCACCCAAATCTCGCCCAAAATCGTCGAAGTAAAAATGCATTTCACCATTGTCTAGGAACCATCTAACGAAATTAAGTAATGTCTAAATTTATGATATTTATTATGTGGCGCCTTGCGCTAGACATTTGCTTACATGACCGTAAATAAGTTAAGGGATAAAAGAAAAATTATATTTATTTGGAATTAAGCTTATCTGCTTAGAATCGAATAGAATTCATTTATTTTGACAACACACATCACGTACACAATATGCTATTTTGAAAAAATAAATAAAATACTAAATAAATAAAATAATAATAAAAAAAAACATGAGTAAATAACAGAAAAAAGCCAATGCAATAGTCTGTACCCTGGTGTGCGTTGTCAAAGCTGGCCTCAGTTCAGTACAAGCAGTAAGCAGAGCCTACTGCACTGATATTCTGCTGCGGCCAGCAGTGATACCACGCATAAACGAAACACAAAATATCCAGTTACAAAATATAAATGTTTTAACACATTATTATTTTAACACATTAGTCATTTAAAGACAACAACAAAGAATATATAAACAAAACAAGTTATTGCTTAGGCGATTAGTAAGATTAGGCGTTTCCTTGTTAAGCTATGCCTTGTTCTAGGTTAGTAAAAATGGAGGTTAAAGTCATTAGGTGGTTCCTAATTTGTGAAAGCATTTTCATCTTAGGCGATTCTTAGTCTTTAGGCGACAGATTTAGGCGACTACTAAGTTTTGTGAAAACAGGCATATGAACATAGTTTATGTAGATAAAACCGAATAGTCTACAATAGTTAATTATGATTGTGATGTTACCTACACCTTGTTATTATAGTCAACATTGCATTCTAAAGTCAGACTCGGATCTACGTTTTTTTCTACCGGGGCCGACTTTTCGTATGGCGCCCTTCCTCAACCCCCCACTCTTATTTTAATATTCTTTTACAATGTATGATTTTATTGTATCATAGCCTATATTTTGTATAACAAGATCTAGAAGTATGATTTTGGCGTCCGAGGTAAGTGCCCCCATTTGCCCCACCCCCTAGATCTGGGCCTGTGCAAAGTCGTTCCATCTAATCAAATGTTAATAATATAGCTGATTAAAAAGGTACCTATTAGTTTTGGTTTTATAACTTTATTCATATGATATTAGATATACGGTCTAGTTTCGAATCAACTCTCCATTCAGGTAAGGTCCCATTGAAAGTTTTTTTACGAAAACGTTTATCAAGGAGGTTTACTACCTGTGGATCTGCGTTAACGTACAATAAAATTTAGAATAACTACCTACTCTATGCCGAACTTATGTCATAGATAAAGAAATCTGCAAATGATTTACGGATTTTAATGTTGATTTTTATTTATTATAATAGCCTATTACTATGGTTTCTACGCAAGTAAAATAAACTGTAAACCACTTAAATAAAAGTTGTTATTTATATTTAACTAATTTTTATTATAATCTCCGTAGATTTATATTAACACTCTTTTATTTGCGTTTAGTTCATAACATTTATATAGAGGCAAATAAATGCGGTTGATTAATAATTAAGAAAAATAGCATGTAGTTTTTATTACCAATCTATTGTTTACAGTATCAAGTGGCGTGCACATGCAAACCATCATCGGCGCAGTACGCATGCGCGGACGATCCTGGCCCCCCGCCCCCAGCCAAAACGGACACCCCTCCAGCCCTCCCGCCAAGACCACCGACTAGTGTTTTGGCTGCTACAAACAGGCGAAACAATGGTAAGGACTCTATTATTGTAATTTTAAGACATGTTTTTGTGTATTTCAGCTGCTTTATGATTACGTTGTTTTTTTACCGTATCATCGACAAATAAAACTTGAAAATTAACCACGTAAGATTATAAAAACAAATAAATATAATATCTAATACTAATTGAAATGATAGATAACTGATTTTTTAAAATAAATACTTATTAATTAATACTGAGCGAAAAAGTTAAAGTTATACTTTTATAGCGAATCCCCTTCTATTTCTTTGAACTCCTGGTTGGAGCTCTATTTGGGAGTAGGTTATTCATCAGGTAAAAAATACCTATACATGAAATCTAAAGGCAGTTCACTACTCTTTAATGTAAGATATCATTAAATACTTATAGAGATTAATTTAAGAAATACAAAACAATTTTTAATTGTAGCAATAAATTGAGTTTAAGGTTAGTATTACGATACTGAGATTAGAAGAATTCTCTTAATACCGAAACATTTTAAATTTTTAAATGGAGCAGGTGTGCTATGAAAGATGTTCCCACGTATCAACACTGAAATGTCGCAATGGATAAGAAAATCTTTTGTGAGAATTAAGGTTGTATGTTAACTAACAATAAGCATTGTCCATCTACCTGCTGTTAAACCATGAAGGTTTCATTGGTTACGAAACGTCTTTGCTTTGTGTGTTATAAACTTTTTTCTTTAAACTACAGGGCCGCGAAATTTCGCGGCAAAATCCATAAGTCACATTCGACATGTCCAATTTACGTCCTAGTTACCTGGCACCAAATAAAGTACCCATTGCTTCTGCGCGAACCAGCCATTGTTAAAACATAACCTAGTCCTGTAAACGTCTATAAATTAATAATGTAACCCAGTTTTATTTTCGTAAATAACGTTTTAGATGCAATAAGTATTCACAAATGTTTAGTTTATTGTGTGATATGATAAGATTTCGATTACACTGTGTTATAAAGCAAATAAAAACAAATTAACGTCAGTTACCTACTACGAGTGCATAGAAAGGAACTATGTAATTTTTTCAAAAACGGAATTTTTTTCGCGAACGCATTTTTTTCTTTAATGTGTACTGTTATTGTGAAATCAACTTTAAAACCAGTGTTTGATTCGCGTACGCTGTTGTTTTTGTACCGTGTAGAGGTCATTGTTCTTTAACGTATCGCTTGCGTGAGATATAAATATCGATTTTATAGAAATGGCGGGGTTTTCAAAAGTTATTCAAGTCATAAAGTTGTTCGTAAACGTAAACTGTAGATTTAACTATAGTTATTATGCGTGAGTTTGTTATTGTGTGATAATTGTGTTTACAAAGTATGCAAGTGATGCAATTGGTACAATATCAAGTATCGACACCGCAGTCTACGATTGCCGGCGATGTGGCACAGCATTATGTTCCTCCGCCCCCATATTTCGGTAAATAAAAATAATTAATTTAAGCATAGATTATATCTTAATCAATTTTGTATTCACAATGCTATGCTGGTAAATATTTTTAATGAAAAATGCTTGAAATTACCATCACGAGTCTGGTACCCGGGTCTGGTGGATTTTTTAAGTATAAATTTTAATAAAATGTTAATTTGAAATTAATTTTAAGTTTAGGCTCAAGTATCACATCAATATCATGTTTTGTTTGGTGCAGGCTAAGCGACATCACTTATCGCCATATGTTCATTTAGAATTCAAATACTTGTGATAGTTTAAGTTCATATTTCTGTTATAAGTTTTTAATACCGTGTTTGTATAAATGTTGCATTATTCACTTTCACATACTTATAACTTTCAATAACTGTTTTAGAAATTCACTAAATATGTATGAAAATAATATTTTGATCACAATTATAAAAACGTAAATTACCGATAACGCGTCGGGTTGATTTCCGAACGTGACATTTATGCTAGCATAGATATAGATAATAAAGTCATATACAACTTATTCAGTAGGATTCCAGGTGGATTAGCGCGAATCATAATACAAAAAGAACTACTAGTAAGCTTGCGGACGTGCACTGAATTGCTTAGGAACTGGCTGGATTCTAAAAAGGGCCATAATACGGCCCCAGGTCTAAAATTAAATAAGTTTTTGTATAACTTGTAAACGATTGCTAGTGTACTAAATAAATAAAAAATAAAAAATTCGTCTGCAGCAGCAGTGGGGTGCAATAATGAGACGACTTGCCGGCGTCGCAAGTATGCGTGGTGGTGTGTTGGTTGCGGCGCGCTGGCAGCCGCGCTCGGCGGGCTACTTGCAGCACAGCATATACTGCTGCGAGCTTACACAGCATCACCACAACACCTGGAGACAGTGCCCGCTGCTGTACCGGCTGCTATGGTACCTATACAGACTTTATGTGTTGACCTGAATAAACAAATAAAGTAGTAAGTAGCTGCTATAATGATGAATATCGAAGGGCTTCAAATTTAGAAATACACTTGTTTTTGTTTCATGAACAAGTGTATTTCTAAATGTGAATTTGAAATGCTAAATCACAGGTCTTCACGTTAGATGGAACCAATCTACCTAAAATTCCGTATAGATGTCGAATGCGGATTAGTGGTGCTAATGCTCAGGTATTTTTATTGATCGAAACCAAAATGCATCCACCCAATATTCTGTACTGGGCCCGCGTGTAGGACCCTAAGCGGATTGATGGAGCTAAAGCACAGGTAATGGACGTAACCAATACCAATCCACCCAGCATTCTATACAGGGCCCGCGTGTAGGACCCTAAAGCAGATTGGTGGTGCTAAAGCACAAGTATACTAAATGGATGAAATCAATCTATCCAGTAATCCATACTGGGTCCGTGTGGTCGACCAAAATCGCCCCGCTAGCTAAAAATATATTTAACCAACAATCCAATTACCAGCTTTTGCGATCGTTGCTTAACCTCCGCAGTTGCAGATCAAACGAGATTTTCACCTGTTGCTATAGAAGGGTAACATTTTCCTTTTTCGTTAAATTGTATAATATATACAATTGAATAATAATACATGCATGTGAAATTGCACAACTGATAAACTGATTACGCTCCTGTGCAATTTTATGAGTAACTTGCCATTCTTCATACATTTGATCAGATATCGAATTTAATCGAATCGAGCCATGAGTAAAGAACCTTAGGCTCAATACAATAAGTGCATTCCTTGTATGTGGATTCTTTAAGTTGATTTTTGACCAAACACTGGTCAGAAGTATTCAGCAGTATGGCGCGTGCTGAGTGAGTGTGATAAAGTGACGTCAAAGTCGTCGTGCGCTCAACTTAAAAATTTAATACGTATAGAAAAATAATTATAACGTATTTTTTTAATTTTACTAAAGGATACTATAACGTAAATATCTAAAATCGACGACATTTCTCTTTATTATATATTATTCATATGACTAGTGGCAAGTCACAATGTATTTTTTAGGTCGCCGTAACTACAGAACCTTAATAGTAATAATAAATAGACAAATTGAAACGGATAATAAATAAGATAATTTCCAAATAAAAATCACTTAACTTTATTTTGAGATATTGGCAATTTGTTTTACATACCTATAAAATGTAAACAAGGTTTTTTTTTGCTGTTATATTTGTAATAATTAGTAAAACGTTACATGTTGGGCGGCTATTCTTAACGTCACTGACTTTATTTTGTTTCCAATTGTAAAAGTTATTTGTACTATATGTTATTGTAACATGTAGTATACGATTGTATAGAAACTTTTTTCTTCAATCATTAACATTACACTGATCCCACGTTGGGCGCCAGTTAGACGATCACGCTCAATCGGCACTACTCTTTTGTTTTATGTATACGGGGATTAAAGAAAAGAGTTTATATTGACCATTAATTCTAATTGTGAGTTTGAATCATACATAGATATGATTACAATCTGGAAGTTCGTAAGACTTGTATAATAAATAAGCAACCACATAAATTATTACTTTAATTATCAGTAGTGTAATAAAAATATTTAGTCGATTTTAATCTATAATTTTTAGTTAGATTTGAACTTTGGTTTTCACGTGCTGTCGATTGTATGATTTGTACGTAATTTATATACCTAAATGAACATAGATATTTACTAAACATTCTATATGACGCGACGACCTCGATGGCGTAGTGGTTAGCGCATTTGGTTGATGAGTGTGAACTGAGAATTTGTGATGTGGAGGTTAAGCAAAGCAATATTCTATGGGTTCTCCATATTTGGAAGGCTTATCAAAGTTGCCCAATGAATCTATTATATACATAGAGCTCTATGCTTCGGAACGTGCGTTGTAGGTCCTATTGGTCCCATCTGAATTTGCAGTCATTGAAATCCACCAATCCTTGGCTAGCGTGATGGGTTAAAATGGCCCATTCCCAGTATTTTATTCGATCCTAAGGGACAAGCCTGATGATGATGATTAAATTTACTGTTAAAACTTAGAATGAACTTTAAGTAAATTACAAAACTGTTTCATTGTTATAATTTCTATTGCAGTTGGTGTTGACCGGTGTGTGTATCATGAGTTTGGCGCGGCGACGGAATAGATACAGCTATATGGTAAGGAAAGTATGTAATATATTTCATAATAATTTATTTGCACTGCCAACACGAAGATAATACATTAGGAGCTACATTTCATTAGAACCTTATGGAGATTTCGCCAATTAAATCGCGTCTCCTTTACTTCGGACGCCAGCCAGTTGCCAAGGTGAAAGGACTGAGGGTTTGACTTTGCTTTGGCTACTCAATTTGGTGGCAAATTTACAATTGATGATATATAGCCATGGCTAATGAGATTCTAATGAAGTATAGCTCTAATGGCGCCTTTTTATCATCTTAAATAATTTACTGCATCATTTAGATAGGAATTTCAGTTCAGTTTCAGCTACTCAATTTGTAACATTGATTTAAAAACTTATTACTTAAGGCGTCAGCACGCCGTTTTACGACACCCTATCCTTTTCTGATGTCCAGAACTGTCATTTGCTAGAGCGAGAAACATGGCAGTTGTGCGATAAGCACGCCGTGGAATCTTGGTGGCGGTAGGAAATATGCTTTCTTATCCGCTAATATAATCTCAACTACTTGCATTATGCCGTTATATCATCTACCTGAAGTCCAATATTATTATATACAAAGCTTGGCACCGTTAATCAAATAATTAACTTCGTTAATCGCTAATCCGTTACTAAAAAAGTTAACTTCGTTATACGTTAAAGCGTTACATTTCGAAACAATTAACGCGAGTTAACGTTAATCCGTTACCACACGATAAAAATTGCATTTTTTATCATGATATCATATACTCATAAGCACTGTTGGTTTGCCTTCTGGAAGTTAACAGGTTAGTAACAAAAACTCAAGGTATATAATTCAAGTGTGTAATTTAGACATCTGTCATAATGTGAATATAGACATTAATTTGTTGAAGTTCTCGTCTGAAAGCGAGGCTCGTTTCGGCGTTAAAATATCTTTTCCCATGGAAAAAAGACGTTCAACTGCTGATATATAATTTATATATCTGTCATTGAATAATATTGGACTTTAGGTAACTAGTATAATGGTAAAATGCAAGTAAACACTAGCAGAATTGGTCTACTGATAAAGGTCGTGGACAGTCGCTGGATGCGGGCAGTACGGGATTGATCGTAAATGAGACCCATGGGAAGGCAATGCTCAGCTGTAGGCTTGGTACGGCTGACATGATGAACGAGGAAAGAATAAGACGACAGAAAAAGGCGATAACATGCTAGCAATTGTAGCTCAACCTTATGTATCACGAGAAAGTGACATTGATAGAACGTCTGCAAATTAAAAGACTGACTTTCTATCCGATGTTTGTCCACTATTGTTTTCAATACACTTCTGGTATACAACATACTAATATTTTATCTCTCTTCCAGATAAAAGTGGTTGGTGTATGCTGTCTAGTGTGCGCTCTGACTTGTGTACTAGTTACCATTACAACGACAGTCATACATATGAACAAGTAAGATATTTTATAAATCGTAGATTTCACTTAATCTTGAAAAATTAATAGTAATATGGTTACTTTGTCATATTAAAGATGTTATTGTAACGCCAATAAGTTAGCAAATTAGAGGTCGAGCCGCTACCGCCGGTTAAAAACTTGATTGAACAACAGAATAAATTATAGGTATAATCTCCACAAATTGATAATACGTTCGAAAATCAGTACCGTTAATCAATAAACACTGGTTGACGATATGATAATTTTCGGATAATATAAATAGATATTATCCGAAAATTCATGCAATAAATTATTAAATCAAAGTTATTAAATTAAATATTAATAAATATTTAAATTGTTAATAAATATTTCATTTCTTGCATTTTGTGCTATCTTCTATTTTCAAATGACGTCACGCACGTGTTATTTAGATAGGTTTCCAGTGCATTAGCAGTTTACGGGACTTATACAATTCTCTTTTGTCTCACAGGTTACAAACGCTAAAGTTCTGTGAGTACACGAAGCTGACACGAACATGCACTTGTTTTACGACTCAACCTGATACACAGCACAGCGCCAGCGATGATGATGGTAATTTTTTTCTCTTATTCAAAGACTTAGTTAACATTTGGCCACTGTCTGACCTGAGAGTAAGATGTGGTCTCAGATATATGCCTACCCAGGAAGTGCCTGTTCACTCTGACTGTGAAGAGTTGTAGGTTGTTCCGAATGGGGAGGACAACCGAAATAAATTATTCACAGACCTCTGTGGGCAAGCCGTCATTGCACAGTTTTTGTATTCTGCCTTAGAATTCTGTAAATATCGGAACCCGAATTCGAATTAACTCATGTGTCCGTATTCACGTAATTTAGTTGAGAAATTCTATTGATCCTATTTTTGTATAAAAAATACAAAACAAAATTGATTAATTCATACGTATTTCAGATATTTTATTGCTATGTCATTTCGAAACTCACTTTACTTTGGAACTACACTTATTTTTATGATTTTTACAGAATCGGTAAAGCCTTAGCCAGTTGCTATATTTTTTATTTTATAATTTAGATTGAATCACCCATTCCAGTAGTAGATGAGTAGCTCGATGGCGTAGTGGATAAGCGCCGCAGCCCACGATCGTTGTTGTTAAGAAACTTTTGAAAAGGTCAGTCACGGTATGGGTGAGAAAAAAAATATTATCTCGAGCTACTCCATGCTTCGGAAGGCACTTCAAAGCCGTTGCTCCCGGTTGAAATTGCAGTCGAAAATATCCTCCAATCCGTCTTGGGCCAGCTTGGTGGGTCACGGCGCATCCTCCTTAACCATCTATAAGGAAGGTCTGAGCCCCTTTTTGTCTTAGGGGGAATCCTTTGTGCACTGCCCCAATCGCAGGAGATGTGGGACTCCAACGACATCAACCCATCCGAAGGCTAGTCAAAACGTGGATGGCATAGCCATTAAACGCTTTCGATGTACTTTTACTTTTGGGGGAAGGACGTGACATCCAGCAGGGACTGCACCACACCCCTGATGTGGCTGAAGTAAGGCTAATGATGATGATGACTCATTCAAAGCTGGCAATATTGTTTTTGTTCCCAGGTGTTCGCTGCGTGTTCGAGGGCGTGTCAGAATGTGGTGTGGTACACGGTGCTCTCTACTGGTGCCTGCGGGGAGTGTTCGCGCTATCGGTGAGCGCCGTGCTCGTCTGCATATTCAGCTGTATGCTCGCCTACCAGCTGTTGAGGTAACTTTACGTACTAGTTGTTTTACAGCGATTTCGCCAGCTTAAATTATAGTCTATGTCACCCTATGTTAGCTTTCCATAGGTGGAAGTTTTTTTTTTAAATCCAGAAGTTTCAAGCCTATGAAATGTAAACAAACCATTATTATTTTCCTCTTTATTTATTGTAGTTAATCTATAATCATTATATCATCAATTTGAACATGATTTGAACGCTGTAAACTTTAAAAGCTAAAAGAATTGTTTACGGGTGTTTTCAGAATAAAAATTATGTAAGTATAAAGAAATACTCTTTTGCAAAATTAAATGAAACTTGTGTAAAATAATCTAATTGTTACTTTCGGGACTAAAAGTTTTAGACTCAAATATTGAAGATTAGATTATTAAAACATATTTTATTAATTTGATCTAACATCAACTAGACTAGATATTACATAAATATTTAATTATTAATGATTAAAAATATAATTATCTGAAAATTTGAATAACTAATAGTGTAGAAAACTAATGACGTAATATTTTGTAGAATAGCATTTTTGTACTTAAGGCCTCAATTCTACTACGGTTAACATAAACGTGTCAATGGCATTTCAGTTACATCTTCCACTATGATGATAAAGAACCATTGTTCTAATAATTACGTCAACATTAGTAGAATTGAGACCTAAAAACGGTAATACGCCTTTAAGCATGGGGTAAATCAGAAAACAATTGTCGCCATAAGATACAGGTTATCTTTGAAAGAAGCAGCCACAAAGCATTACATATTTAAACAACTGTCACTGTATAAACTTGTGAAACGATAGGACTATATGCATGTGAAAAAAAAAATCAGAGCAGAAATATAGTATAAAACAGAAAAAGATGGTAAGTTAGATGAATTTTGTCAAAAAATATGTAAATTAGAAAGGAATATACTTTAAGTTGACGACTGAGCAAAGAGGTGTGAAAGAGGATTATATATTGCTCCAATCCTTAATTATATTGAGGGAACGAAAGCTCTCAAAAAGATTATAACTAAAGTATGTTTTCACATCGATTCAGAACTTTCTAAAGCTGAGAAACTCTGAAACTCTATTTCCGTAACATTGAATTCAATTTCTTTATCACCGAATTCAAAGTAATTCTTTGTATATGCACCCTGTTGTCCAACATTTTAATGATATGCTTTAAATCTGTCACTTCAGATTTTACACAGACATACTCCATTACCTCTGGAACTTCATACATGTCCCTAACTTTCTTCACTTCATCCAGTTGTTGCGCTAAACTATCAGCTTGTATTTTAATCGTGTCCCTTTCTTTATCCAATTCCAATATCATTCTTTGTCTGTCTTTTATTGTTTTTATAATACTTGACAAATAGTTATTTTGCTCCATCATTGCTTTTTTATGTACAGAAAGATTTAAATTAGCTTCACCGGTCATCTTTTTCAGCTCTCCCAATTGTTGCAGTTTCTTGTCTATTATTGCTACGCATTCTCCGTTTTCGATTTCTAGTTTCTCGAAATCGACCGGACACAGACTTTCACTAAGTTCTGCTTTGTCCTTGATTTGGCCTTTCAATTTGCTGTATTGAGTGTTCAGGGTACTAGTTCTCAGGCGCAGTTTTCCAATTTGACTGTCTGTAATTTTAACCCATTCCATCATGAATCTGAGGAGAGAAAAAAATCACAAGTGTCATGTTTGTTACATTGCAAATTCAAGTTAAAAGAAAAAAATATACCTACCTACCTATATCTAATTTAATTAAAAAATATTAAAGGAAATTAATGATTGATTTCTTATCTCTAATAAAAGTAAGAATGAATTTCGTCTGACCTTCTTCCACAATTCTTAATTTAGTGATTTTGACCACAGAAATTGATTTATTCATTTAGTCCACGATCATGCTGCGAACTAGAGTGGCTCGCGCGCCAGTTTCAAAATGTCACCGTCTCTTCTGACTAGGTTAATATAGAAAATGAACGTTTCTATATCGTCCCGGGTCTGTGAGTTGTGTAGTGGTAACTTAGGTAAAAGAATCTAACCGAACCGAACGAAAGGTAAAAGAAAATAAAAGAAACAGTAATTAAAACCTATCTCCATTATGGCGTAAGTAATATTTTTTATAGGTAATGATAGGTATATATCATGCATTTAAAAAAAATAAATGACCAAAGTTATTAATAATGTCCTCTCACCTGATCCAAATTTCAGCTGGTATCCTCTGAGCTATCTTATCCCAACCATCTACTATAACTTCTTGATTGAACATCACGCACGCCTTCTGTATATCTACCTCCCTTACATCAATCTCCTCCAACTGTGCCTTTAAAAGGGCTTGTTGTTTCGCAGCCTTTGTTCTTTCCTTTTCCATGTTCATTACCAGAATCTCTTTTTCCGTAGTAACCAATTCTGAACGTTCCAAAACGTTGATCCTCGGACCAGTCCCGAATATGACAGTACCTCCCATCCTCGCTGATGAATCTACTCGTCTTGTTGTTGATACTTTCGAAGGGCTTTGCAGCAGCCTAGAAGGGCTCGCGGAGAAGTCGAAGCCAGACTTTTGCGATTTAACAAAACTGCCGACGTTTAACGACGAACTGCTGGCTAGCCTGTTCGCGTAATCTAAAGCTTGTTGTACGCCATTCATCAATGCAGGTTCTAATCTCATTATAGTCTTCTCTAAGATTTCGTTCTCCAAGTTGATAACCTTTATTTGTTGCTTCAAGTCGTGTACTTGTTTTATCAGCTCAGCATCGGTGAAATCATCTAAATTTTGGCTGAATGACTGCGAGTATTGACTGAAACTACTCCTGTGGTGGGACATTTTTAAAAACTTTGCTAAAAAATAAATTACTCGAAAGCACTTTGTGGATTAATGTCAGAATGAAACCAGATAAAATGAGTGATTCTTATCAGTTTTGAGCTAAGGTAGCTTTCAGCATTGTTCGATAGAAGTGTGAATATGTTACATGTTACTATGACACTTGAGTCGTCATGGTAACTAATGATGGAAAGAGGCTTCTATTGAGGCGTTAAAATGAAAGGTCACGCGATTGTTATACAAACTTTTTGATTGCTGTATTGAAAAAATAGTTGGATAAAATATATTCGGATTCCGGTTAGCCAACGTTTTGAATAACTTTTTTTACAAATATTTCAAGAGAAATGTTTTCATTTAAGTTATAGTACTTAATAATTGTGTTCTATATTGAGCACATAGATGTAGATACTATATTCAAAATAAGTATATTTGTTTTACTTAGTATACGATACTTTTGCCATAGAACTTCATTTTTATTAAATATAATAAGACTCTTTCGAAGAAAGTAAGTACAAAAGTACCGAACGTTCACCTTATAGTAAAGTATAATATTTAGTAGTACCTAATAATAAAGGGCCGTAAAGCAGTGACTCGCCAAGACCCCACTATTTCGCGTTTATCTTACACTTTATTCTTTGTTACCAAAAATTTAATCTATTGCGTACTTAAATAATATTTTTATTATAAAGATGTACAAATAATAGTTGATTTGTTACAGCCATGAGCGTAAGAAGATGTATTGGGAGCAGTTAGAATTAAGATGTCGTTCTTTGTACCGACCGCCTACTGGACAAGCGGCGCCTTCTACGGGCAGGCCCGTTCAGGTATATATTAATTAATCTTGGTTTTGATAATTACTATTATTGATCTTGTAGTCGAACAAAATAAATGCTTTTGACAAGTGGTTTGAATAGAATACCAACAGTGGTGTGATTTCTAGATGTTATTTCCCGGGTGCATCTGCAGTTATTAAGAGCTGTTGTGTTGGATTGGATATATATGGAACTGAATCGAATCGAATAGACAATGGGCCGTGATCCAGCACGCGTCTTAACGAAGCAGCCGGTACCACTAGCTAAACTATATTCCGAAGCACGGGTGATCTAGAGATAATAAATGTTTGGTCACCCATCCTATGACCGGTCCTAGCAAAGTTGCTTAACAACCGTATCGTAGACCGGACACACTAGACAGTAACCAATGAGTCGTCGTGCTCTTTTGTTTATTATTAATCGTCATCAATTTGTTATGTATTATGATTTTTGCTATTTATGACCTGAAAGTTTTTAGAATTATACTTAAATATCTAGAGGAAATACTTATAATATTTTTTGTTAATTTTTCCATTAATTCCTTGTAGATAGGCACTAAGAACTTGGCGGCGCCTCTCCAATAGTGTTTTACGTTATATATGATCATGATGTTTAATTATATTGCAGAGTAATTGCGGTTGCTGCGCGCAATGTCATCCAACCCCAGCGTGGGACATCAGCTTGCAGCACAGGTTCTGGGCTCCAGGTAATGAAAAATATATTGATAAGTATATAGCCAGGTAATATAGAAAGTACATAGCTTTCATCATATACATTAAATATGTATGAAGTTATAAAAAACATACCGAAAGCAGTGAGATATAAGACGCGAGAAAATTTCTTATAAGACTAAAAATAAATGCGTGCACAGGGTTTCTTTTGTCACCGTGACTTATCGATTCTAATTTAATTTAACCTCCCAACGTCGAAAATGGAAAACTGCGCGACAAATAGTGCCGTGTTTTAAAATTACTGCCGTGTGCACATTTGGGAATGCATTTCATCATTGATTACTTTCTATCATTGACTACGCTGATGTTTGCTATACTGATCTAACCGAGGAACTCCTCAACAAATAAGAGCGTCTGTAGAATATGTGTATTCTGTTTATTTTTAATCTTCGCAAATATGACCATGTGTCGCATTTTCGCTCAAAACTTACACACTCTTATGCTTGTCTATTCTGTTCTTTTCTGTCCCATGTCTCCACCCTACTTAATGTTTTTTTCCTTTCGCAACTCCTCATCCAGATCACAGTTTATTCTGCGGTCTGCCTCAAACCTGAAACTTGATATCCCTCCTCACTCCTCTGACTTCCTATCCTATTCTTTTTCTGTTCAAGCTGTTCGGCTTTGGAACTTGTTACCAGAAAATATTAGGAAGGCTCGTACTTTGCCATCTTTCGTCGCAGAAGTAAAATGTCACTTTCTCTCCAACTTTTAACCCTCTCTCTTTCGTGTACATTTTCTATTTTTCTCTTTATGTATATCTATTCAATTCCTGTCGCTTTTGCACCTACTCCCCGTCATCATTCATTATTATTTATCTATGTTTTCTTTTTTACCATTGGTTGCCTGGAAGAGATGCAGGTATAGCAACAAGATCGCCTTTTGTATTCTGTCTGATCTTTTTTCTTTCTTTGTAATGTGTCCTATATTTGTGCAATAAAGAATATTATTATTGTTCTATTTGAACACTTTTTAATGGACGTTAATAAAACTCGTGCGAATGAGGGCTAATTGTCACGTTTTCAAGAGCTCGCTCCACAATAAGGATTCTCAAGCATAATGACAGGAGACAAAAAAGTCACTAGTGCGCGCGTTGCCTTATTGCTAACGACGAATTAACAGGGCTCTTAAAATGTTCAAAGCAATAAGCTATTATATTAGACTAGCCGTTTTTCGCGACTCCGCTTATATATATTATAGATTATGTCACTCGTGTATGGCGTTGTTTCACATAAGTGAAATTGTTTTTAAAATTGTAATAGTAGTTGTTAAGTAAATTATTTTATTTAGACTTTTTATTTCGGTATAATGTCCTTGAATTACACGTTGATATTTTAAAAACAGATTTTAAAATATAAATCATTTAATTTTATCACTTGTGATATTGGTGACGGACGATACGTGACGGATTTTCCGTCATATATTTGATAAAAATCGGCAAATATTTATGTATCTATTTCTTTTGTTTTAGGACGTATTGGTAATCTGTACTCTCCCAATCCCGGAACAGGCAGGAAGACTTCAGCATGGAGCTGGTTCCCTTGGCCCAGGAGTAATAGTCAGAAGTGAGTGCATTAGAAAATAATTTAATCCTGTATTGACTATTTGTACTTAAATAAACTTATTAGTACATCGGTTCGGTTAGAAATTGTCTGCAACGTCAACGGGCCGTCGAAACCACGGATGCGTTCGAAGTAATAATAATTAAAAGAATACATTTTTGGTCGCCAATCCGATGACAGACTTTTGCGAAAGTTGCTTATCGCAATCGCAAACAGAACTCTTTGGCTCCATATATGTTGTATACAGGGTTATTAGTAAAACATCATTAACTTAGCAAGACTAGACAGTTAACATTATATGTATACAACGATCTTTTATCTATAACATGTAAAGTATTTTTAATTTGTAGATATACGGGACATATATCTAAAAAATATACGTATATAAAAAGTAATATTCATATAATAAGTTAAAATTTAAAAATAAATTAATTTTAAACTCATTTCGCGTGAAAATGTAATCTTCTGTCATGGAGTCGCTGTGACGTCTACCTCTCTAAAACTAATATCGTTCTATGTATGCTTAGGGTTTAATTTTCTAAGTTCTGAAGTGTTGTCCGTAGAGTCAGTAAGAGACGGGCAGTAAATAAAATTTTTATTGTTGTACTAGCTGACCCGACAGACTTCGTCCTGTCAAAAAGATTTGTAATGTGGCAGTTTTTTTGCCTACGTATTTAAAAAAATTCTCCTGAACAGAACCGTCATCCTGGTGATAGGGCGTTGTGAATAAAAAATAATTAAATAAAACATATATAAGGATTTAAAAGTAAGTAATCGCTTTATTGTTAATCATGTGAATCATATTTATTATTGCAATGTATTAATAGTAATAGTATTAAATATAGAAAAAAGAGATTTTTATGATCATAAAAACACATTACACACAACAGCATTATAAAAGTAAACTATTCGAATTAAAAAAATATATAAACATTCTCAAGGAAAAATGCTGGAAGAATCCATCTACCTGTACCCCGGAATGGGACTCGAACCCATTCGCGATCCAGGGACTGCTCTAACCAATGAGCTATCTAGGACCCAACAGCTTTGCTACTACAGAGCCTATTTTCATCAATGTTCCGGCAATACATGTAATGACGTGGAAACTGATGCATTTTATCTCGCGTGCCGAAACTAATACAAAAGAAACGCGAGTTTCGGAACGCGACATTAAACTCCTCCAACTATGTATTCTGTGCTCCAACGCACACACGCACATTGTTTTGATAGATATGATCTTTGACGTTAGGAACACACCTACATTGCTTAGACAACAGTGAGTGCTTGTAATTTAATATGAACTTTATACCATAGCAATAAAGCTCAAATTGATTACGTTTTAGTTACAAATCATTTGTATGGGAAAAAGAAAAGGGCTATTTTTAGGGTTTTTTACAGCAATAATTCTATTTTTCTCGCCGTAAAAACCATCCTTGAACTTCAACGAACATTTTAAAAAAAGATTTGGCCAAATTGGTCGAGGCGTTGTTGAGTTATGCGCTTACCAACACATTTTGCGATTCATTTTTATATATATAAGATAAAAGTAAAATGCAACAGAATATCAAGACATATATCGTCTTATTACATATATCGTCTACTAGAATTAGTACTTTTGTATAAACCATTGGCCGCCTAAAACAAATTGATAACAACAGAGAAGAATACGTCAAATTGAGACGTATTGACTTATTTTATTCGGATAATGGTATAAACCTGGTTCTAAGGTTAGTACTCGTTTTATAATTAGATGAACAGAACTATTTTTCATCATCATCATCACGATAGCCTTTTGGTTATCGAGGACAGGCCTCTTCACTCCTTGTTTTCCGTGTTTTATAAATAATCCTGTATATTCTTAATGAAAAATGTTAAAAAATTCCACCAGTTCCAGGTAGTCTGAGATTTTATAAGCATTTTTCATTAAGAATATTTTCCAGTATAACTCTGAATGCAAAATTGATATAATATAATAACTCTGTATATGTTTGGTTTAGTTCCCGTTGCCGAATGCCGGGTGGAGTCCCACAGTCTGGTGACAGCGCGTACGGATTCTGCGACACGGACACAAACGCAGCGCCGCAAGCTTACGACGACAGATTCCCGAACATGCGACAGAACCCGCAGTTCCCGCAGACACAGAACTTCGCTCAGGCACAGAATTTCGCGCAGTCACAAAACTTCGCACAAGGACAAAGTTTTGGACAAAGTTACTCGAGTCAAATTGCTCAGGGGAATTTTCAAGAGGGTTTCGGGGAAGCGAGCGGGAGTTTTGACACTCAGACTGGTGTTTGGGGTCCTCCACCTCCATACAGTCCTCAAGGGAGAAGTGGAAGCAGGTTAGTTTGTTTAATTTTTTTTTATGCACATAAAGAAACATTTTAAAATCATCATGAAATATTGAATTTCGCATTTTATCTTAAACCTTCAATAAATTGAAGCTTCAAATTGATAGCACTTATTTGAAAGATCACATTTTCATTTATCATTATATTAATAGCAAATAAGTTAAAATATTTTTTCAAAAGCTCGCAAGCTGTCGCTATTTAAAGAATAAAATTACGTGAAAAATCAACATATAATTTTAATTATGTCTTTGCTGTATGTATGGCTAAAAATGTTACGCGCTCTCGATACAGTGAGATGTTATTATTTTCAGAGTTTAATTATATCTGTTTAGTTATTTTTATCTATAAACACTTTATTTTTCAGGCATCATCTTCACCAAGATCCAGCAGCTGCTACACTCCTTCATCACCACCACATTGACGTTCATCGTAACTCTATGCACGATCACAACATACAATCTCACACTTGCAGAAACTCTTACATGCAGCAAAATGTACAGGAGTCAACCAGGCTCAATCCGGAGTTGACTAGAATCAACCCGGATATGTCAAGATTGAACCCAGACTTAGTCAGGTTGAACCCAGAGTTAGCTAGAATGAATCCTGAATTAGCTAGGCTCAACCCAGAATTGGCCAGATTGAATCCAGATTTGGCCAGACTAAATCCGGAATTGGCCAGAATGAATTCGGATTTGCAACATTTGCAGATGTATCCGACTGATGTTAATGAGTTAGCTAGGATGCAAGCGGAAATGCATATTGCACCGGACGCGAGATTTAATACATTGAGAGGACATTTGGTGCCATACAGGTCTTGTCAGAGAACTTTGGGTATGAGTGCTGGTAATCTGCACAGAGATTGCAGGATGGAGGAAGGTGTTGTTATAGAATGTTTGCATTCGAAGACTGCCAGTAAGGGTAATACTTATATTATATCTTACTTTCTATAATTTGGTTGGGATTTTATTCTAAGTACCTTCTTGTTGGTAATTGTAAAAGGCATAAAAAGTCAAGGACTCCAATAATCTTAGTTTTTTTTCCCATGTTTACCCATGGCCCTGGGTAGCTCAGTGGTTAGAGCGAGCGCTCGGATTGCGAAGTGTTATGGGTTCGAGCCCCATCTCAGAGTGCTAGAGACAAAGTGGATTTTTGAAGTGTTATTAATTAAGAGCATATCAGGACTTTAGAAAATATTTGTTATTGTTAAGTGGATCTTAGTCATTAGTGAATTTCATTTTACAATTAGGTGAAACATTTGAGCAATTCCTAACTTTAAGTTTAGTAAAAACGGCGTTAGCATGAATTGTTGTTATGCAAAATTAAAAAGTTTGTTATTATATTCTTACTCATAAATAAGGAATAGTAAGGATATAATTGTATAAGGTATGATTTAAGAAAAAATAAAAATATGCGACTAGATGCTAGATAACAAGTAGACACTTCTCAGACAGCTCAGCTGGTAGAGTAGAGAAGAGTTCGGGTTCGAATTCCGCCTCGAACACTGAGACAGTTGTTTTTTTTATTATTTTCGTATAAGACTAGCTTTCCACCAGCAGCTTTGCCCGCGTTGTACATGATGACTTGACAGTACTGTTATCTGTAGAAAACTGTTTAATGGTATAGAAAGCTTATATGTTAAATTAGGCCGAGAACTATCTGAATACTGAGTTGTTGTAGTCTATTCTTATGTATTTTTTATTTTTTAGTTTCCGATCAAAGCTCTGATTCGTCACAGAAGCAAGGAAAAGAAAATTTGGGCTTTCAAAATGATAAACACTCACCTATGAGGTATGTTATATTAAACTAAGAAACGTACAGACACCGCGAATTATAATGCCTTTCTAATATAGTATATTACTTGTTAATAATTAATAATGTACTTTTATTAGGGTATAATTTTTAAAAAGGCCTAATTTGAAGTCTACCACTTTATAAATTATATGATTGAATTTGCTTACAACGAGAAAATAATTTGATATGAGTATTTCGTTTTTAGATCTTCCATGCAAGATTGCCATAGGGGTGTGAACCAAAACGCTGAATCCGAGGTGTATTTCGCTGATGTGTCCAGCTGCTGTAACGTTTCGGTCAAAGTAAGTGCCTTTTTATCAACAATATAAGTAAATAGCATTATTTCATGATAAAAAAGTGAAAATTTCCTTTTGAAAATCTGAAATAATGAATTAACATTATATTCTGTTGGGTGTGCGATATATGTTCGTCGAAAAATATTTTTTGAAGAATCTCATTTGCATATCTTCCTTTTCAGGCTGATTGCTGCATGAATCCAAACGTTTCGGCTTTAGTGGGCACTATAGAGAATCATCCGGAATCCACATCCGAATCAGATACGGGCTCGTTCACTCTTACTAGACAACAAAGACCCCAACCACAAGTAGGGTCCAAACGAAGACCGAGACAGAACGAAAAACTGGTTAAAAACCAGGAAAAAACGCGGCAAGACTTGAATAGCAGTTTAAGATTGACCGAACAACAAATAGAGCATCTAAATAATTCCATGAGGATGTGTGAACGTATGAACGACGCAAGGATCGAGCGAATGAACGAGACTCGGTCGAGTGAGAGAATGGATAGAATTGAATCAAGAGATAGATTGAATGATTCCAGGTTGGATAGAGTGAACGATACCAGAATGAGTGACAGAATGAACGATACTCGCTCGAGTGAACGTACAAATAACTCTAGAGAAGCGCGTAAGAATGACCCTTTGTCGAATGATTCTAGAATGATGAACGAATCAAGAGTAAGTGATTCTAGGATGAACGATTCTAGGTTGAGCGAATCTAGAATGAACGATTCCAGGTTGAGCGAATCAAGAATGAATGATTCCAGATTGAGCGAATCTAGAATGAACGATTCGAGATTGAGCGATTGCAGAAACGAAAGGTTTGAACGGTTAAACGATTCGAGAACAGAACGGATGAATGACTCACGAATGGTGACAGAGAGGATAGATCGCATGAATGACACAAGAATTGAGGATAGAAGAATGTCAGATTTGAATTCCAGTATTAGAATTGAAGGTAGCCCGAAAATAAGGAGTCATATGAGTCCATTGCGAATCCAAAAAAATCCTAAGAATCTTCCGAAGGAACATTGTAGGCAATCCAGTTCAGATTCGGGGAAGCCAGAATTCTTTGTGCCACCTCCTCCTAACCTATCGCCCTTATCGCCTAATACAGACGAATCATTATTGTCTGACGAAGACAGACCTGATACTGTGTACTCTAACGAGCCAGAAACTTCGAAATGCTTGGGACCTGATTCTCAATACGAACCAGTGAGAGAGGAGAAGGAAGATATCCTTAAGACCAACCATCATCATTGTTACAGTGACACTAACACAATGGACTCTGGTTGGCAAAGCGGCTCAGAGAAACAGGTCACAGATTAAAAGTGAAATCATAGACAATTTTAGTCATCTTCTTGCCAATGGTGTGTTCCATATGAATGTACACAGGAAGTGTTCCAGCCATTTAAAAAAAGGAAAGTAACTTAGAAATTATGAATTTACCTAATTGCCTATGATAATTCTCTATGATCATCCAATGTAAACAATAATTGGTCATGTGTTCCATAAAGTAAGTGTTACTTTTTTCGTTATTTAAACTTGTTATTGAAGTTTTGGGTAATTTCAACTGACAATATAAGTCGTCCTCTTATATTATCATAATGTATTGAACTGATAGAGATGGCAAATTATAAAATTGAAATAATTGCCATGTGTGTTTGGGATTTACTCTTGTTGTATTTACTAAGGCCGTTCCTGTAAATTTCTGAATTCAGACCTCCGAGTAATTGACTGAATTCAGAATTTTTTTAGACAGTTTGCCATTTTCTTTGGAATTAGTACTTCGTTATAATTAAATAAAGCTGGAAAATATATGTATTGTATTAATATTAAAAAGCACAAATTTTTGGATCTCGTTTTGATTTTGTTTGTGTTATTTTAAATAAAATATATAATTACTAAAAAAAACGATACTTATTAACTGTGTTATGTGAGCTCTCTTATAGTTATAATGTATAAATATTTTTAGCAATTTAAAATTCTTGTTTCCTAGAATTTTTATTTTATAAAGTATAGATAATAATCAAAAATTAAATAGCTTTCTGTAGTAATAATGTTTGTATATCATCATTAGAACAAATTTTCATATTTATCGAAAGTTTAAATATTTCTATAATATTTCTTTCGGCTGTTTGGGTGGATTGTTTGAACATTGATAAAAATACGCCCTGTCAAGAAGAATTCGTCAGTCCTCTTAAGTCCTTGGTAGCACAGTCGTTAAAGCTGTCGCCCGGATTTCAAAAGGTCATGTGTTCGAGTCCCGTTCGAGTTTTTAAGAATTTTTCATTAAGAATTATAAATATAATCTGATAATATTATCGAATAAATACAACATAACAAGTTATCCCAAACAAGGGTAACCATTGATATTTACGATTCTAGGAACATGGTTACATTACATGTATTGTTTGAATCAAATGTTATGAGTACCTACTAATATTCATGATGATATGACAGATTTACATTGAACTTTCGTGTAATAAATAAGAGTTTAAAACTGCGTGTATGTTTGTTACGCAGTTTCAGTAGTAAGTAGACAGAGCCACAATTCTGCTACGTTATCCTAATTATGGCTTATGAATGGCGTTAAAATAACATTTATTTTTGAGTCAATTCCTGCTACCAGATGACACAGTAACAAAATGTCTGTCATCACTGATTTAGCTAGGTGCTATTGCACTATTGGTGCTTATGTTAGAATTCTGGTAAATAATACAATGGAAAATACAATTAATTGAAACGCCATTATGATGCTATAATTACGGTATAGCGGACTCGAGTTTCAGAGTGGTTTTAAATTATGGAATCTTTGTATATAAGCTGTATTTCAATGGATGATGACAGTGACTTTTTTATTATTATTACTTTTCTAATTAAGTGTCATACTACATATGCGTCAAGTGAAAAACCCATGATTACTAAATATAATCTTTTAAATATTCCGTAAATGGTCTGCAAGCGTGTTTTGAAGTCAATCTATACGTAAGTACTATACTTTTAAAGTTGATTTACACAACAGCAACAAAAGTTGAATAATAAACACAGTCCTGGCCTTGGACTTTTGAAATCGACGGATCAACTCAATGATATCACAATATATCAAGAAATGATCTAAAGAGTATCCGCTGCAAATTAAAGTAATTGGATCTTAGACTAGGTATAATAAAGTTCCATGTTAAGTTGGTGTTATTCGATTGACTTTGTAGTTGAGATGAGTGTCAAAGTAATTCTGTAGCTATTGTGCCAAGTAGACGTAGACATTTTTATAATAAAATGACCAAACTAGATTTCTAATCATACTAATTTATTATTAAAAAATCTATTTTTTTCCATAGACTTGTTACTATGATACGACCTGTGTGTAATTTCGCCCCACCTTAAGCGACAAGTTTATAAGGTAGGAGTGGTTGAATGAAGCTAATTAGTTTTAGTGTAGGTACATAGTATGGGGGTTCTAATTTGTTAATAATTATAAGTTCAGACGATGCGATTTCGCCGTGCGATGGTTTAATAAATGTGCCCTAATAAAATGAACTGTCTGAATATTAGACGAGTTTCGTTATACATTGTACGTTGGTAAGAAATAGTGGAACAAATAAATAAAACCTTTGCAGCAATGAACTTGAAATCGTGTCTGAATTCATTGTGGTTATGAGATGACTAAAGTCTCTGAAAATAAATTTAGCTGTACGTGCTTGATCACACAATGGGTAATCCTGTAAATTAAATTAAACGCAAATTCGATCAAATATAATAATTATCACCACTATTGTTACAAAGAAGAAGTATAATTAAATCTCGTCGCACGATGAAATAATGAAGTCGCATCGTTTGATCATACAATCTTTACGAATTAGGAAGATGACCACACTGATACAGCGTCAAGTGCGAAGCTTATCCAGGGGGCTAATTCTACTAAATAAATTTTGTTTAAATCAAATCGAAAACGGATCGAAACCGAACGACTAAATAGTCACTTTGTAGAATAGAAAAACCATTAAAAACTATAGTTTCGTTCAGTTTCAATCCGTTTTCGATTCGATTCAAACAACATTTATTTAGTAGAATTGGCCCCCAGGACATTACGTCTTACGGCATTGTTTTATACACGACAATTTTAAGATATACACTGCTATAGTGATTATGGAGTACCTTAAATATGAGATATATCTCATAATAAAGTAGAGTACGTAATTATGTTTTTATAACAAATAAATTCATTCGTATTACCCTTATGATATAAAATAAGTTGTGCGGTCACCAACTATACGTAAATTATATAAAATAAATATATGTAAGTTCTTGATTTTAGAAATGTACGAATGGTCTTTTATGATAACTAAAAATTATCTACTGGATGTAATAAAACATTTGATGTGAATAATAATTCATTATAATATAAAATTAATTTCTTTTTAAAGACTTTTGTGTACATAAGTATTTTTATTCCAATTGTATTTTTAAAGTTGTTAGGTTATTTTAAAGATTTGTCTTTTGTATTTACTGAGAGATTATTTTGAAAATCGTAGGTACCTGTAACTATAAAAAACTGTAATGCGCAAAGGAATTGTTTGATTGATTAATTAAACCTATTTTTGTAAATTAACTAACTAGTAATTGATAATTTTTATATAATTAAATATTGTTTTAGATAAGTATGTTTTGTTTACAGCAATTATGTTTGAATGTGACGAACTAAAATATTATTGAGTGATTTAAGAAAGTTGATTTCTTTGTATTTATGATTTTTTGAGGGATGTTATAATTGAACAGTAATTGTTCCAGTAAATAATCCATATCTATCACACGATAATAAATAGAAGTCTCATTATAAATCGCACGATGCTTGTTGAGCGATGACGCGTCATCGATTAAAACACTCAAAAAGTCTTTAAGTTTTTAAGCACGACTATAGTACGATTAATTAAGCATTTCTTGTGCTCGTTGGATGACATATTTAATCTCGTCGCACGACGTGATCGCATCGTTTGCTAGTACGATCGTATTAAATTACGACGACACCTGATACTTGTAATATTATGGTAAAATTTAAGTTTTCAGGATTAATAATTAACACTTATGATCATTATGGTGTAATGTAAGTATTATTAATGTTATAATCATAATATTATACATATATTTTAGTTTGTCACTATTTGTAGTTACTTGTCAAGTTGATATCTGCGTACCTATTGTATAGATAGTTTTGATCGGTTAATGAATAATGGTTCTATTAAAAGACTGAAAACTTGAACGAATCGTTTTATTTTGAGTGTAAATAATTATGAGATATTAATGCTTAAATCGAATTGACTTAAAATATAAGATAAATAATTCTTAAAATCCATAAAAGAGGTTCAAAATTCAATATGATATATGTGAAATTAGGTTAAAAACCACTTATAAGCACGGTCATGTTTGAATTGAATTTCAAAATCCTCTTTTGTAGTTTTTAATATGTTTTCAAGTCTATTTCTCCCGAAGACTGCTTTAGCTGTTTTTTTTATTTTCTCTGTATTTTTTCTATATTACCAAAAAAGTATTAACTGAGAGGGTTTATAAAATAAAAGACAAGCTTATTAGAATTTTGTTGAATACTGTTTTTATTTCATCATATAATTCAGTTTGTTAAAATACGGACACAACGCATTTGAGTAACGCAATTGTAGGCATATTTAAGTACATCTTGAAAATGAATAACAAAGCAAAGGTAAAACTGAAATATATTTTAACCATTTGTTTATAATAATAATGTTTAAACTATTTTTTTTACTTTAGAGACTAGTGTATACAAAAATGCATAAATGCATTCTTCAGTTATAACCAGGAAAAGTATTTTTTCACATTAATATTATTTTAAAGCACCTAATATGTTTGATGGATTTGGGAAATTAAGAACAGAATCAAAATATAAATGTATATACTTTTTAATTGAGTTTACACACATATAATTTTATCATTGATATTAAACTTTATTATCCCCTTGAAATCTAGTCTGACTTGTTGTTTCAAACTACCTTCTCTATTCCTGGTCACACAACTCTATTTTTATTAAAATATAGTTAAAAAAGGCACTTAAATTACGTTATTTATTTAATTAGATCACTTTATATTAAAACTAAAATTGTAAATTAACTTACACTTTGTTTAATAATATCATAATATACAGCTGAGATTGAAAATAAAATTGTTTATTAGTCTTATTATTATTAAAAATAATATTACAAAAATTCGGAGAATTTCTAATCTTGTTTTATAATTCCGTGTTTCATATTATCAAATTATTACAAATAAATTCACAAAAAAAAAATATTATTTCTTGATGTACTGTATCAGTTTCACTTGACAAGCCCCATAATATAACCCTTGATTATGTTCTAATTTAAGGATATTTTTTATTATAAAAAATATTACAAACATTTTATTTATTAATATATTATTAATCAATTATTTATGTTTTCTTTTTATTATTTATCCTAGTAATCTATGGCTTTAGCTATGACTTCAAAGTCAAAGGCGGCTAATAAAAAATAGACATTAAAAATACCATCAAATCAGAACACCTTATTGAAACCATGATTTAGGTAACTTATTACTTCATAAGAATTAAAATAAAACTAATAGCTAGTAGTAGACAACTGTATCCGAACGTCGTTCCTTTGCCTGTCAAGCTTTCTTCTTGGAGGAGGTGGTCACTGACCCCATACGCGGTACTTGGCGTGACGACATCTTGATTTTCGAGCATTTGATTTGCTGCTTTCAAATTTTTTATGAGAGCTAATACGTCCTCTGTAAATAAATAAAATTATTAACTTATATTTTCTTATAATTCTTATTATTATAGTATAGTATAATTATAGTGAAGTCAAAACTTTGGTTTCCTGTTTAGATATATTACGCGGACGGTGCAGTAGGTTCGAAATATGGCAAATTTACAAGATTAGATGCAGAACTTAACCCATTGTTTTTGGAATTCTTAAAAATACGTTGAATTAATAAAAATAAACTAATTACACACACTAACTAAGTATCATGCGAAATGAACATTTCGGTATAATAATAAATAAGTTATTTATACACCGCCGCATTCGCTTGCGAAAGCGAAACATCTGCGAATCTATTGCGAAAGCGAGACACTGAGTCTGTGGAACGACGTTTTTTGTAGTTGCTAGCGAAACAGTACTGACAAGGATGCACCTATTTCGTCGAGCTAATAATAGAGCGAGACAGAGTACGTGCGAAATATTGCCAAAAAACTTGACTATAAGTTGATTTGCTTTCGCTCGTGATTGCGATGTCGTACCACATCGTAATGAACGGTTTTATAATCGATTAGACGAGCATAGCGCTGTCACAATATAGAGCTTTAATTTTAGCTCAATGACATGATTTAAGGGTTTATTTAATCTATTTAAGCATACCTCGTAGAAGAGGTAATAATAAAGGTTTTATTTCATTGAACTTAGGACATCGAGTTCGAGGCTGATTTTTCACAGACTGAGAACAGAATCTCATAACTGCCGAGCGATTCTTTAAAAATCCGAACCCGAATTCTAATTCACTCATGTGACCGAATTCACATAATTTAGAGAAGAAATTCTATTGATTCACAGTGCAGTGTTGGAAGAAATTCTATTGATTCACAGTGCAGTATAGTAAGAACAGTGCTGCGATTCTTTAAAAAATCGCAGCACTGTTCTTACTATTCACAGGGAAGCCTGAAGCCTTCAGTACGCATTTACAATCACTTTAAAATAAATATATAAATAAATAAGAATCGGCGAATTCACCCGCCACAGCAGTGGGAGCATTAAAAGTATGTTGTTGATGTCCCTAGCTTTCAAAATAATTATGTATTATCAAATAAAAACGCTTGGATTATAGAACGTTAAATATTCAAACGTCTGACGTCAAACAAATTAAAAGAAAGGCACGTAGACTTGACAGAATTATGTCGGGTTACTAAATAAATATGTAAATAAATATTCCATACCTGCTTCCCTGTCCCCGTCCTTCCAGTCGACCTTGAGGAATGTGGTAAGGGACACCTCGTACAGGTTGTCGTCAGCGGAGGAGGCGATGGCGCGCCGCCGTCGTCCAAACCCGCGCACGCCGTTACTGCACTGCACCTGTCGTATACAAGGGTTAGCTACATATTCATTAGTGCACTACTTTTACCTACTATTTACGCAGTTAGTACATCGACATTCGCTTGCGAAGGTGAACCATCTGCGAAACTATGCGAATGATGACAGGGTTGTCACCTTTTAAGAATCTAAATTTGTGATATTCGGTTAATCTCCAGAAACCAGGTCGGATGGCAACCCTGAATGCGACACATGTGTGTGTCAAACCATACTGACAAGGACCCAGTATCGAGCTAATAATACATCGAGACAAAACACATAGGAAACATTGCCACGAAACTGACAAGATTTCGTAAATGTTTCGCATTGAAATGAAAATATCTTTATTCAAGTAGGCTTTTATTACAAGCACTTTTGAATCTTCCAAAAAGTTTTTTTCCCCTACCACTTGTTCAGGACCTTTTTTAGCTGACAAGAAGATCAAGCGAAAGAAACTTACCAGCTCTTTATCATAAGTAATGACATTTACATAAATCATGTCATTACCAAAGTAATATGTTTTAACACAATCATAAATACAACTTTCAAAGTCTGTAGGTCATAGTTTGTAATATAACACTGGTCAACAAAATGATATATTTTTTTTTGCCGTTGCTCAGTAGTGGTATTTTTTCATACCTTGGCATGCAACTACTATAAATATGTTCGTAAAAAAAAATTTAAACACCCATTTTTTTCATAAAATACATTTATTAAAAGTAACCAAGAATTACTGACGTTCGTAAATATTTTTTTAAAAGAATTTATTCTGAGGATGTTTTTGTTCTTTTTGCTTGCCTCTTGTAACTATAAGACGGATGATCTCGTTTTAGTGTCCAACAAAAATCTGCAAGCATTCTCGGCGACCACTTTCCTTGGTATCTTCTTTCCATCGCCATGATGTCTTGATGGAATCTTTCCCCGTGCTCATCGCTTACTGCACCCAAGTTTTCGGGGAAAAAATTTAGATGGGAATGAAGGAAATGTATCTTCAAAGACATATTACATCCTAAATCTTTATAGTCTTGTAGAAGCTTAGAAACTATCTCCTTATAGTTCGCAGACTTTGTGTTTCCCAAAAAATTCTTTGTCACTTCAACAAAAGAAAGCCACGCATTTTTTTCCTTTTTGTTTAATTTTGAAATAAAATTTGTATCTTTCATGACCTTCCTTATATCTGGCCCTACAAAAATTCCTTCTTTCAATTTAGCTTCACTCAGTCTAGGGAACAATGTTTTTAAATACAAAAAACCTTCTCTGTTTCTATCCATGCCTTTAACAAAGTTTTTCATGAGGCCTAATTTAATGTGAAGAGGCGGTAAAATAATATTATTTGGCTGTACTAATAGGCTTTCGGAAATATTCTTTTGTCCAGGAACGAAATTAGTCCTCATTGGCCAATCTTTTTTTATGTAGTGTTGACTTCTAGCTCTGCTATCCCACTCACATAAAAAACAACAATATTTCGTGTACCCTCCTTGTAACCCAAGTAAAATTCCCACAACTTTAAGGTCTGCACATATTTTCCAAGAATGCAAGTTATACTGAATTTTCTCGAGTAGATTTTTTATATTTATATATGTTTCTTTTATGTGTATGCCATGTGCTAAAGGTACAGATGGAAGATCATTGCCATTATGCAGTAAGACTGCTTTTAAACTTAATTTAGAAGAATCAATAAATAGTCTCCATTGATCTGGTGAATAGCTGTCATAGCCTAATTTATTCATAAGCCCCTGCACATCACTGCAGTATGTAAGATCACTTTCTTGTTTAAAAAAGTCTACAAATTCAGCATCGCGTTTTCGATACACTGAAATTTGTGTACTCGGATGAAGTAAATTCCACTGTTGAAGTCTGGAACCTAAAAGTTCGGCTTGGGCTTTAGACAAATTTAAGTCTCTAACTAAATCATTTAGTTCACCTTGACCTACTAAATGTGGTTCGTTATCATTTACAACAAAATTTTGTGACTGAGTAAGGGTCTTCGTTGAAGATTCCGATTCTACGTCGCTTACGTTGTCCTCTGCACCTTTTTCCTTTAGTGGAGGTTGCGGCGGTGGACAGTTTTCGGTATGAGGAAGCGGTTTAGTTACTGATTCCACATCAGGGTATCCAATTTTATCTCTAGTTTTATAGGAATATCCTTTAAGTTTCGTTAAACAGAAATAACAATCAGTAATATGATCTTTTTGTTCTCTCCAAAGTGTAGGTTTAGAAAAAGGCATTGCTAGGTGGGTACCTTTAAACCATCCTCTTAAATAACGAACACATCTTAAACAAAAATAACTCGGAGCCCAACTTTTTTTAATAGTTTCAGGAATATTGAAACCAAAATACAAATTGTAAATGTTATTAAGTAACGGTGTAGGTCGTTCTCGATTAGAACTTGAAGTAAACTCGCCACAAATAAAACAAAAGAGGTCCGGTGAATTTAAGCACTTTCGATTCATATTGTACTTCTACTTTTTCTTTTAAACTGAAACTTATCAAAAAAAAATCAGAAAAAAACTAGTCACAATTTCAATAAACAGTTGAAAAAACACTGGAAATCGAACGTCGTCTAGTGTTGAATAGCGATATAACGCGATAACAAACTAAGAATAACATACACTAAATGTGCACAAATGTGAGGGAATATCGTGTTCTTTTTTTTTTAATTGTTTATTCTTGGCTTGGATGCTTGTCCTTTAGCCGATATGAGTTTTGTTTTTGTTAGAATGGCCAACCACAATACTTATTTTCGATAGACCGTCAAAATTTTTCAAAGTCAAAGTAAATCGTTTATTTAGATATTTCGATGTAATAGATTGTTTTTATTTATTTTTTTTATATACTTATATATGAGGGATACCGAAAATACATAAATTAATTAACGGCAAAAAGTCATGTTGACCAGTGTAATTAGTCGTTATAGAACAAAGCGAAGGCTATTAATTCCATGCGTTGCAATCCTTATAATAATCAACTATAATAGCCTTTACTCATAAGTATGTTCTTTACATACATTTTAAATATATATTTATTCGCATGCGATTGAGTCGTTGTACTATCAGCGTTAGTATTGGCGGTCCTTGGTGGAGTAAGCGCGTTTGGTCTGCGATTAGGAAGCTATGCAACTTTTATAGTGGCCAGTCATAGGATGAGTGACCAAGAATTTATTATATGTAGCTCCTCAATGCTTCGGAAGGCATTTTAAGGCGTTGGTTCAGGCCGCATCTCATCATCATAGCTTATTAATGTTCCCATTGCTGGGGTTTCCCTATTAATGGAATAGGGAGATTAGGCCATCCACCACGCTGGCCCAGCGTGGATTAGTGGGTATTAACGACTGCAGATGCCATTGGGACTGACTGGTGGGTCATGCTCATTCTGTAGACAACGCCTCAGAAGTTGTTTCTCTTTTTCTTTTGACTTTGCGAGTCCCATACCCCTTGCGTTGCTATAGACCTCTGATTAATTCGGATTCAAAAAGATATTTACTTTTGATTACACGATCGCACAATCAAATCGGGTGGAAAGATTATTGTGACCATATAGTGAGTCCCGTGTCCTTTGCACTATAGTTGCTCAATGACCTCCGATTAATTCGGATTCGAAAAAGATCTTTACTTTTGAAATCGGATGGAAAGATTATCGTGACCATATATATGTTGACTTACCCCAGGACATTTATCGAGGCACACTGTTACTGTACCGATGAACAAGACGTACGTGGTGTCGGGGAACTTGAATGCTCTGAACTTGGCTACTAAAACATCTCCGTCCGTCGTCTGGAAGTTGTTAAACAGGGACGCGTCCAGGGAACATCTGAAATAGAATGTTACATTACAATTTTATAAGGAATTTTTCATAGAATTTTATCCTCCAAAGAATTACATCAGAACTAAGAAATCACCTTCAGTTTTGGCGAATTTCAACACAGAGCAAACCAAATGACTAGTAAGAAACCCCATTTTATTATTTATGAATTTGATATTTTATTATTTATGATTTTGATTCGAATTGCCAGGAAAGAAAAATAGTTGCCCATCAGCTGAACTGGAGAGGTTTTTAGCCGAATAGATACGATTTTATTGGTTTTTACTTTATTTATATTTACTTCCAAAGGTGTGGGGAAAGACTATTTTGTATGACCTCACGTGCTATTATATATTATTATTATTACGCACGTGTATTCGTATGGGTTATATATACACGTGTATTTGTATGAGAACGTAAAGGAGTTCAAGATAATATTTTTTTTTTCACCCATCCCATGATTGGCCGATGCAAAAATTGCTTAACTAGTGTATCGCAGACCGAACGCTAACCATAACGACTCTCTTAAGGATAATAAAGTATCGCGATGACGTTATTAACTTTAATTGATAAACGATAGGCTTAAATGCCTTGCTTTTGTATTTACGTCCATGCGTTTTAACCAATCGTGTATATAACCATGGAGCAACTCACCCATTCAGTATAATAGTTTCCTGTTGGTTATCAGTGTTGGTGGCGTACATATAGTTGACGAACAGACCGTATACTGGTGCAGATGTGTTGTCTAAAGATATCTCCATGGTGAGATGTGTGCCGGGGCTCACTGAGTCATTCCTAGGGACCCTGTAAAATTATTAAAACAATACTAGCATTCAACATTCCACAAAGGTCAGACAGAAATTTAAATTTGATGTCGAAAATTTATATGAACCAAAATAAATGTTAGTGGGTAGAAGTTTTGTATTTTAAGATTTTTAACTGACTACAAAATCGAAAATCTTTGCTATGCTCGACGGGTGTATTTTTATGTTGATTTTCCATGAATTGTAATTTGATTTTGAAAATTCGTTTTTTATTCCTTTCATGGGCCTGATGGGGGGAATTGTTTTTAAGGTTCAGATTAACAGTTTTGGTGTTTTAACAAATAATTGGAAGCGTTCTCGATGAAAACAAAAGACCGCGCAATCTGCTTTCGTATTTCGAACACCAGTGTCATTTAAAAAAAGATATATATTCCATGCTTTCATTTTCTATTATAAATTGTTCGAGATGTGAATTTATAATATGACACTATTTTCTAGATTTTCTAGGACATGCCAAGATTCAATGATAGTGATTACTTTTATAAATCAAATGACAATGAAATAATAAGAAGTCAACTTCTTTCTGATCACAGCGATACTTTTTTTCTTAAAAACACTGAAATGTGTGTAGATACTTCATCATCATCGTCATCAGCCCTTTTACGTCCCCGCTGCAGGGGCTCAGGCCTTCTTTATGGATGGTTAAGGAGAATGGGCCATGACCTTCCACGCTGGCCCAATGCGGATTGGAGGGTATTAACGACTGCAAATGCAGCCGGGACCAACGGCTTAATGTGCCTTCCGAAGCACGGAGTAGCTCGAGATAATAATTTTTTTGGTCACCCATACCGTGACCGACCCTTGCGAAAGTTGAAAGATACTTACGGCACACCATTTTTCTTGACAACAGCGAACAGCATAGGTTCTGGTGCGTGTCCGACTTCGTTTCGTGTTATATTCAGAACACTGAAAAAAAAAAATAGTGAATAGCTTTACACGATGACATGGCAGTACATTTATCCCTTGAGAACCGTGTCAAATAGTGACCTAATATGTTAATTTAGCCTTATTCGGATGCCAATTTCATCAAAATTTGTTCAGTGGTTTCTGCGTGAAAGAGTAACAACGTCTACCCTCACAAACTTTCGCATTTATAAAATTAGTAGGATATTCTATAATATAATAATGCAAATTATTAATACGAAATAATGAAGGAATAATATTAGGGGAGAGCGGGGCTGAAAGTGCCGGGGGTAAATTGTGCCGATGCCAATATCTCGAAAATGGAAAGAGTTAGATATACGATCGTATTGCGTCGCTAATGCCCGACAGTTCGGCACACGCGTGTGCCATTTTAGTTGCGTCAACGAAATGGACCGAGTGCCAGTGCATGTGAGAGGTTACCAGCATCATGTAAGTAAATATTTTCGTGTCGATGCTTTTTGGTCGCAAGCTAGAATCTTTTGTGATTTTAATATGGGAGTTTTACTAAAATGCTCGTTATTTATCCTAGTTAGCCTTACAGTGTAATTTTATTGGTTGAAGTTGACAGATTTTTATATGTGAGACGAAATACCACACTTTCATAAACGGGGCAAAAAGTGCCGTTCGTGTGGGGCGGGTTGTGCCGCGGCACAACCAACCCCTCAGTAACGTTGATGGTTCCAGTATTGTTTGCTTTTACGCGAGCACTTATGAAGAAGAGAAACTCCTTGTTGACGTGAAACTTTATTTTGCATTTATTGTTTTTGACAGAATGGAGATTTGTCATACAACACTACAACGCTACGTCAAAAACATACTCCTGCGGTTGGATATAAACCAAGACTAGTATTTAATCAAGAACAGGAGGCACAGCTGACGATTAACATATTAAAAAGCGCATCTATTTACTTCGGTCTTTTACCGCAAGGGGTACGACAACTTGTGTACCAATGTGCCGTGAAATTTGAAGTGTAAAACATACCACAATCATGGCATAGAAATGGTGAGGCTGGCAAAGACCGGTTGAAAAACTTTTTAAAGAGAAACCACTCCTCCAATATATGCAACGCATTTAAAAAGGCTAGCATTTGGCCGTATGATTCGAACATCTTTCCAGACGAAGATTATGCACCTTCTTTTGGTACTGATCGTTCGATGCCAGAACCTGTAGCAAACAACTTGCCTGTCCCTGCAAATAATCCTCAATATCTGGATGAGTCCAGTTATGTGGCCAGCAACGTTGAGATTGAAACTAGTCCATCGATACTACAGCCTCTTCCTCGGCAAAGCGACTGCAACGTTGACTAAATAAGTGAACCAGGTCCTTCGGATCTTCAATTAGCTGATAATAACAGAGAGGATAAAAGTACAGCAATTTTCTCACCCGAACTAATAAGACCACTGCCTAAAGCACCTCCCCGATTGATTGGACACAATAAAAGACGTAAAAGAAAGACAACTGTTCTCACGGATACTCCAGAAAAAAATGCTTTGGCCGAAAAACAGACTAATAAAAAGAAGAAAGAAAGCGAAGGTACAAAGTAAATTAAAGAAAAAAATAAGGGAAAGGGTAAGGGAAAGGGCAAGGGAAATGGCAAGGGAAAGGGCAAGGGAAAGGGCAAGGCAAAAGCTAAACAATTGAAAAACCTGACGAAAAACCCTGCTAAGAGAAGAGTTTTTGCAAGATGACAGTTCCGATGATGAAGATGACGAAGAAGAATATTATTGTATAATATGTTGTGATGCCTACTCTAACTCCACCCCTGGAGAAAAATGGATAGATTGTGGAGAATGTAAGAATTGGGCCCATTTGCAATGTATTGAAGTTGAAGAAAGCGTAGCCTTTATATGTTCTTATTGGTTTTTTGATCAGTCATCTGAAAAATAACTAGTTTTGATACTTATATTTTGTGATTTCTTAAAAAGACTTTCAAGAGACTGATTAATATTTAAAATGATTATTATAAGGAAAGATCTGTGTTACTTAATTTTAGAGAAAACTTTATTATTTTTCGTAAAATAGTCTTAAAAGGCTGATATTTTTACTAGTTGATCTCATTCGCATTACAAATAAGTACAAACTATTGATAGAAATATGCTTTGTGTTTGAAATAATTACGTAAGTCAAGATATCTATTATTATTATAATACCTTAGTATTATTATCAACTAAATCTTAACAAGTATGACGAATAAATATTTGATTGTAAAATTGATGCATTTTAAATTCTAAATAAAATTTTATTCTCGTAAAACATCTAACGTTATCAACGGCACAACCAACCTCAGCTACGGCACAACTTGCCCCAAACGGGGGTTGGTTGTGCCGTGCCGACGTAGCATGAAAACCTCGCTTTTTCTCAAACACCATTAAAAATGTACAATATATGGAAGTATATTCATTAATTGGACTAAATATGGCTTAAGATAAACCATTGCGTTCAGACATTAGTACTATTTTATCGGATTTATTAAAGGATTTGTCAAAATCGGCACTTTCAGCCCCGCTCTCCCCTATTTATTCAAATAATAATAAAAAAAACTGCTAAACTTCTTTTATTAGTCATTAATTTGGTCATTACCTCAGTGAAATGGATAGTGAAAAAGGTCGAAAAATGAACACAGCTTTGTTATTTGCAAAAATACGGCGTTGAACACAGCGCCGTCGCAACGCGTTAGATGTTAATTACTGCCTGCTGCGCAGACTTTGCCTACATAACTATGAACCTAAAAAATACAGTAAGATACAACTGATGTGGCTCACTGATGATAAACGGTTACACACCAGGCTATTACAATATATCTAAATTCCTTTTGAAGTCTACCTACAGTGTATTAAATTAAAAAAAAAACTGTTTTTAATAATTACATGCTGTTGAATGTACCCACGCAGAATGATAAATTACGAAGTGCGGCAAGTGTCGGTGAATCAGAATGTTTCAAGTATCACGCGATCCACCAATATCCACTAATAATTAGTAGATTTGTACTGCGCATACGTATATCTATATATTACTTTTAACTTATTGTACAAAAAGGATCATGTAAATAGATATCTTACTCTGGTTCATTGAAATCTAACGGGAATGGTTGGACTTCTCTCCTGGTGAGTGTTCTGGCTTTGCCAGTGACGACACACCTCACCAGGACTGTCTCTCGATCGCCGCCAGCGCCCTCTATTACTACTTTATGATAGTAAGTTCTTTTTCCCTGAAACATAAATTTAATATTTTCATTTAATACTCATACATAATAGACTGGGGACCAATTCTACAAAATAAATTTTGTTTAAATCGAATCGAAAATGGATCGAAAACGGATCGAAACCAAACGAAACTACAGTTTTTCTATTCTACTAAGTTACATACGATACAATTCCAGCTTAAATAGAACTGGAATTGTATCGTCATTCGGTTTCGATCCGTTTTCGATTCGATTTGAACAAAATTTATTTAATAGAATTGGCCTCCTGGTCAAGAAGCCGGCTACTTACGGTGCAAATTTTTTTTATTTGCATAGTGACCAATAGACACTATACACATAAAAAAATGCTTAAAAAAACACCAGCCCCAGGTATCGATGCAATTTGAACCAATACAATGAAATCAGAGTGACTGATCTAGACATCGAGTTATCCAAAACATTCGATATTAATTTCTGAAGCATATTTCATCATTGTTTAGGTAAAAACCGAAAGTAATTATTGGTTGGTAAATGTTTTTATCAATGTATTGTGAATGCAAAACCGGTGAAACCGGCTATAGAACAAACGGTGGATGATCGACATAAGAACCTTACAATGGTGTTCACTTATTATAGTAAAAGGAACAAAAATTAAAAAAAAACTTACCGTCTTTTTATTCAAAACCCTAGTAACTCCACATTTGTAAGGGTCTTGCAAGTCTAAAACAAAGATAGCGTTTTTCCCTTCGAGATTCGGCTGACAAGGTTCGTAATCTGGAAATAAATAAATTGACAAACATTAAACAAACTACATAAGTTACAAAAACCAGCACAGATTCTAAACAAACAAGAGTATAATCATATTTTTCCGAATTATCACAGTCCTGAAATCTCAGAATAGAAAAGTAGGCCCAGAGGTATGGCATCTATTAGCAAAGCAAAATAAGATGCAGTGAATATTAAGCAGCTTACGCAAAGGCCGTTCATGATGGGCGAACAAAAGTTTATTATCTCGAGCTCTTTGCATAAAATCAGGTCCATGGATAGTAATGGACCTTCCTAGTGGGTAATTTCTCGTTTTCCTTTTATTTTCTTAAAAGAGAATTATGCCCCAGTAGTTAATATGTTGGTGACGATGAAAAAGCTTACAGTTGACATTTTCCACGATAAACCGACAGTCACGCATGATGGAAAAAAGTCAGCCAATTTTCATGCTTGTGCCTTAATTAATACGGTTTTTAATTAGTCTCGCACAATAGCATATAGTTGTCACACAAAAAACACTTGTCGTGAGATGATTGCAGAGATGACTGCCAATCGATTTAAGATCTTACAACAATTTTATTAAATAGCATTGTTGAGAATTCGCGTTAAAACTCAGAGAGGCGTATTCGAATTTGATTCTGAATGTTTTACCCGACTACAACAAAGTAAAAGGATTATTTTTTGGAGCAGTATTTACCATTGTATAATATCGGGTTGGCACAAAAGTAATGAGACACTTGGTTTAAGTTTTTACTTTTTTATTATTATTACAATAAAAAAAGTTTAGTCAATGATGTAATTACCATTAGTATCTAAGACTTCTTGCCAACGATCCGGCAAAGTTTGGATGCCTTTTGGCCAGAACTGTGATGGCTGTGCCTCGAAAAAGTTGTTCAACTCCGCCTCTACGTCAGAGAAATCATTAAATTGTTTACCCCGCAAATGCCGTTTCGGGGTTCTAAACAAATGATAGTCTGATGGGGCGAGGTCTGGGGAATAAGGTGGGTGGGGTATCGTCTCCCAGCCCAAGTTCTCCAACTGCCGGCGAACCACAGATGCGACGTGAGGTCGAGCGTTATCGTGCAGTAAAACTACATTGACTCGTCTTCGTCGTTTTCTCTTGATAGCGGCAGATAATTTGGTAAGCTAGGTTGAATATTTGTCAGCGTTTATAGTTTCATTGTGAAATAGCTCATAAAACAGTATGCCTTGCACATCCCAGAAACAGCAAAGCAGAATTTTTCGGCGGTTCTTTTGACTCGGCTTCGGTTGAGTTGGTGGCGTTTCTTCTCGAGGCAGCCAAAAAGCACGACGTGTATCGTTCTCGTAATAAATCCATGATTCATCTCCAGTAACCAGATCTGACAAAAACTCTTTACGTCGGGGTCGCAGCAAAAGTGACTGACAGATAGCGACACGGACTGCACGACTGGCGTCTGTAAGGATGTGCGGTACCCACCGAGCCAAAACTTTTCGATAACCAAGCTCATGCAGATGGTGTTCCACGGCGTGGTGACTGCATTTACGTGCTTCCGCTAATTCACGAGTGGTAGCATCCGGATTCAACTGCAGTACGCGGCGCAAATCGTCATCATTCACTGCGGGTGGTCGCCCTGAGCGTGGCCGACTTTCAAGGCTCCTAATTGTTTTAAAAAATGCACGAACAAGACCCGATTGCATATAATTATCCTGTCTACTGATTTAAAACGTTCAAACCATCGGGACACCGTCGCATGGCTTGTACTTCCAGCGCCTAATGCATTGTTGATATTGTCAGCCGCAGCCCGCGCACTGTGGCCTAACAAGTACTCGTATAAGTATAGTGTTCGAACTTGTCGCTCGTCCATTTTTCTTCAAACTGACTAAACAAATCGCGAGCGCGGCTTTATATACCCTACACCAGAAGTACCTAGAATGTTCTACAACATTCTAGAATATAATCGAAAAAATTGATTTTAAAAAGGAAATGTTATAGATTTTTCTAGTGTGTCTCATTACTTTTGTGCCAACCCAATATATAGTTTCATCTGTAACCACCTCACATTAATTGTATTAATCTTAAATGAAGTAAGCGTTTGGTTTCGAAGGGCTCATTTAAAAAAAAATATATGAGTCCTTTAACTGTATATTAATAAGATCATAAAAATACAAAACAACAGCTTTATGACAAAGTGGCATGCGACCATGACGATTTTAAGATACATATATTCATATAAGGTTTTTTAAAATGATTTACTCAATGAATAAATATGTTAGAAAAGCTATTTTTAAACTGAAAACCTCAATCCTCTTCGCTCCAAAAATACTGGACCGTTTTTTAAAAAATTTCCACCTGCAGGTAACTAATAATAATAATTATAAACTTTATTTGCATTACCAACAACACATTCTAATTTATAACTGTGTAAGATATAAATAAACTAAAACAAACCAGAAAATTACAAAGCAACATAAAGTAGCTGTGTTAGCCGCATATGATGAATACGCGGCTAACACAGGCTATAATTTACGCTGGAAACAGCTAGTAAATAATAAAAATCTTACCGCTTCAAAAATAATGAATATATCTAAAAGGCTAGAGAGTTGGGAATATTTTATTTTTTCATATGTTTTTGAAATTTCTTTTTCAGTAACTAGGTGCAGGTTTTTGAACTTTATTGTAATATGTTCATACTTTATTGTTATAGATATAAGAGATAACGGTTCTTATATATCTTTCAGCTTTACTCCCCTCATAATTTCATGTTAATCTTGAGCCTGTTTTTTTGGCAGTGTCCGGTTAAAGCTTAATTATTATCACGAATATATGATGATAAGCTTTATGAGTTCCTCAGTTTAAAAACCATTTACATATATTATATGTATTATATATATATTGTACTCAGTTTAAAAACCATTTACATATATTATATGTAAATGGTTATACTCGTATAAGTATCTACCTAAAATTCAATCGCACTATTCTGTAACACACTGTATAGTAACAAAGTTAGTGCATTGTTTTATTTATTCAGTCATGTCACAGTTACGGCCTGCGATCATAATATAGGTATCACAGAACTAAATCTATTTATTTTTTACATTTTACTATGCTTCTATGACGAGACGAGAGAGTGTTAATAATTTATCCTTCTCTAATAATTCAGTATATAAATAAGATATCTGTTTTCCTCGATCCACCTCTGCGCTTGTCTAATTACGTGTGAGCGCTATTCATTCAGTTAGGCGCGTTAGTACTTTCACTGTTCAATGACAGTTATTTGGCGTTAAAATGCAACAGAACGATATTGTTTTCAGGTCAGTCCGTCTGACATAGTTTCCATATACGTAGATCTTTTGTCAGATTCAAGTGGATTTTTAAAAAGTTAATCAACTAATGTTTTTAATACAAAATGCTTAAAAAATCCACTTTGTCTCTGGCACCCTGAGATGGGATTTGAACCCACGACCTTTCGCAATCCAGGCGACTGCTCTAGCCGCTGAGCTACCCAGGACCTAACAGGGTTGACGAATCTTTCAAGCACTTGTTACTTTTCGCTACTTGATCAAAATAATAATTGCAGTTTGGTTGGATGCCTGAACATTGATGAGAATGCGCTCTGTAATAACGAAAAGGATATCGGTGTAAATTCAGTAACTGTTGGTATATACTGATTGAATTTAGTTTTAATGCATTTTTCAGACTCCGTAAACAACATAAATAACAGAATATATTATAGCTTCGGAAGTACGTGAGAAACCAGCTATGCTATTATGTTAAAAAACAGTCTCGAGCTCGATGTCGCGCGCAACGTTGTACCAACACAGAGCTTCAATGAAACTCAATGCTATGACAGCGCTGTGTTCGATGTTGAGTTTGAGGCTTTTTTTAATATAGCATAGTTGAGGGCTTTTTCGTGCTTGAAATTCAGTAAATTTATTTTCTTTTGCGTTGCGATCTATAAAAAAGACAAATAAACTTCACTCTCATCTTTATTCTATTCTATTATAGATGTATAGATAGTGATTTTGTATAGTGATAGAGAATGAGTCTTATATCTACCTTTCATTTGGTCTAAGTAAGATATTCTCCTGTCCCCGTCCATAGGTACTGTCACCCTCATTACTTCTTGCGTGCATTCGATCTGTGCCTCCGATCCTGCAAACAAAAATGTTTAAAATAATAAAGTCTCAATAGGGGGTATAGTCTGTCTTTGTCTATCTCATTGCACCCACTAATGACGCAGAGAAGGACAGAGGATGGCTAATCGTGGGTGATAACGGTTTTTTTAATTGAATAATCGCAATATATTAGGATATATTATAGTAAAAGTGTTTCCTTCAGTTAAAAAGTGAATCATGTATACATACAAAAAATAATAGGTAATAATAAGAGAAGAAATAGTAAAAAGTTGTAAATATTAAAGATAATTCTATGATTGATTGCTATCGAGATTTTTTCTTAATTCAAGTATCAATACTTGAATGTGACAACTTAGAAATATCACGAATTTTCTCATTTTTAATACAGCTTCTTTCGGTTTTATTTCTTGGAACAAAATGAAATTAAGAGAAAAGGTAGATTTAATTGTCAGTGCGCGCCATTTTAAATTTCATATTAAAATGGTGGCCAAGAAGTTACATATAATATTTATTTGTCTAAAAATTTATTGTTTGTGGCCAAGCGCTTAATTGCGCTTACTAAAATTCTTGCCAGTGGCCAAAGGCCGAATTGCACTTACTTTTTTATTTAAATAATAAGAAAAAAGCATAATGTAACAAATTTTTCTGATGATGAAGAACAATGAATTATTTATTTACACAAAGTTAACCTTGCGAATGCGGTCATATATGTGTATAATGATGTCACTATACTTGTCACTGCATAAGGTTAAAGGAACAGGTTTCGCAACGCGTCTCTATACCATTATGTTATTGCTATTATTATCTATAAAATATCAATTTTACCGCTTCTTTAAATATTACTATAAATATGCATATATAATTATAATACTTAAGTAATTATCTTACGAGAAAACATTATATTTTTCTTTGTAATAAACTTCTGGACATATCTTTATTTATTTAAACTTTATAGTAAAAAATTTAGAAATATACAACAGCGGAAAATGCGCTAGCAGTAAACAGCATGTTCTTTTAGAGTACAAAAACAAGTAAACATTTTACTTGAAATCTCCGGCAAATTCAAATAAGAATTTTATTTTTAACCTGAAAATATGGAAAATGGTAATCTATTGATGTTAATTAATAAATATTTATTACATCCTGAACAAATGTATTCGTAATTCAATATTATTAATAAAAGTATGTTTTATTTTTATAATATATTCACTTTAGTGTAAGCAAATATTTTTGGAAGTACAATATTGTTAATTATATTTTAGACTACACATCCTCAGCTCATGACAAAAAAAGAAATCGTCTTTATTATCATTGTTCTACTGAATGAGCTGTATTTGTACTTTCAAGTATTCAATATGCTTCCTAGCACAAGACTCAACCCGATTTCAAAGATGGCGTGATTAATTACAGAACACGATAAGACTTTTTAAATTCATTTCAATGAGTATAATGGTAACGAGGAAACGAGAGAATCGTGTACTACGTGGCATAAAGGTATTCATTAATCTTTAAAAATCACCACTACCAATTTAGAGATAACTTTGTTATTTTTACTGAGCGAACTTTCAAAAGGTTGACGTCCAGAAGCCCTAGAACTGATTTTAGTTTGGCCTTTAAAATAGCATCAACCGAAATAACAACTTTTTTGGTAAAAAAATGTGTATTTATTACTGGTAATATCCCGAGGTACTCCTTACACGGTCTTCCACTACCTTCCTCCAGCCGCTGCCGGCCACCTTTATAAGGTATCTTTCCAAAGATATCCCACACAACGTTTTCCTAAACGTGGTTTTCATTCGAGAATCCGTATATTCCACCTCTCAAAGGTTCTGTAAAAGATGTGGCTGGATGACTGCCGCATTAATACATTTATGATTAAATTATCAAATGTCGATCTTCTGTCGGATGTTCCCTTCTTAACCTTTACTGAGTCTAGACCTTTTAATAGGTTGCTCAGCGGTATGTAGTTATTGGGTTAGTTTCAATGTCATATTTCGACTCCATACTGGTAGGACTCACTGGATGAGCACCCCGGTCTTCTGCATTGTGGCAATGTGAATGAAATATACGAAACAGCTTCTTTCTCAATGTTTTCTCTATCCAACTGTAGTATTTGCCAATTTCTTGCTCAATGTTGTTTCTACCTAACTTTATTATTTGCCAAAAGTAGATGTACGCTTGGTCAATCTCGACAAGATGGGTTCTAGGATGACATGTGATGAAACATGAATTGTCCAAATCCATAGTAATAGCAAGATTTCTGTAAATCTCGATCCGTTAAGAGCTGGTGAGTTTCTTGCACACGTTCTTTTGTCAGATATATGCTAAGTCCCTTAATAACTCCTATAATACCTGGCCATAAAAAACACATTCTTTGTGTCAACACATAGTGCATGGCACGCTCCGGCGTTGGTCAGTGATTGAACGGGCTAGTGGGTTGTACCTCATACTATACAATACAAGTATGATACGATGTAGGAGGAAAACAACTTTAGCGACATCTTACGATGGCGGAAAATAATTATATTTGCTAATGTTTCTATTCTTAGAACAATAGTAAATTGGCAACACACCGATACGAAAGGCGATTACCCAATAGCAACATTAAATTCGTCCTAACCTTAGTTCGTCTCACTCTGTGGCGTGTGATGTGATAAAGACGGTGATATCGTATAAAAGGCATCGGTAATCAGCCTGGCTGTTGCCCGTTCCGCTCTGCCGATGGCGGTCGCGTGTGAACTGACCTCACTGATTTGTAACAGGGTTGTCAACATTTAGTTAATAAATAACCTTATTAAATAATATTATAAATGTAGAAGTTACTCTTTTGTGTGTATGTTAAGTTTTCACGCTTAAATTGAATCAATGTTATTGGAAGTTGGTATACAGATAGAGGCGACCTTGGAAAAGACATACCACAGTTTAATTGCGAAGATAGGCTAAAATTTTGAATTAAGGCACTGGATAGGAATTAAATATATACTTGTTTTTAACATTCCGCCAAACATATGGAAGAAATAGTAGATAGATATAAACTCCACGAGGGTAAAATATTATTTTATCCTTTTTATTTTATGTACCGGTGGGGTTGAGTAAATTATACAAATTCAACTTTTTATTATGTCTCGGTCTGGGTATTATGTTGAGTGCGTTGTTTTTATTTCTTCATAATTATATATCAATATATATGATGTTGTCTGTTTAATATTGTTTAATATTATTTAATATTGTTTATTCTTCTGGAATTTTATCCATAACCCTTAAAAAATTGAAAACCCTATAAGCTATTTAAAGACTAATGATACGCTCCGGCTTCACATGAGTGCAATCTACATGTCAGCTCCGAGGCTGCAAAGTTTCCTCAAACATCTTATACAATTGACGTAGTACTTTAGGCAATTCATTCAAATTTTTATCTATACTGATATTCTAAAGTGCGTTATTTTCGGAAATACTGATCCGATCAGGAAAATTATTTCACCTTTAGGAAGCTACATAATACGTAGTTATGTATAAAAAAAGCAAAAAGTCACGTTTCTTATGTTTTTTTTAAATTTTTTATATGTGAAAATCCGAACCTGAAATGAATTCACTCAGGTGTCTAAATTCACTTTAAAAGAGGCATCCCCTTTTGGTGGTATAAGTGAAGTGATAATCGAAATGGCATAGTGATAGAATATTAGAGACACATATAATCAATCAATTATGTTTTGTATTTTTATACAAAAAATGGAATTAATACATTAAATGACGTGAATTCTGACACATGAGTGATTCAAAATCTGGTTCGAATTTTTACGGAATCGCTCCCCAGATGCAGCCGAGACCAACAACGATTTAAAGTGCCTAACTAATGCGCCATTGAGCTACTCAAATGTTCTTAATCTTAAATTAATTGTTGTTTACATCCTGTTGCTTTGAGATTTATATACCGCGTACTATAACGATTACAACTCTAGTTCACGGTTCAAATACCACACTAGTCACGGCGCGTGGCTTTACGCGTTTTCTTTTGTATGCAATTAGCGGTTGCATACTCAAGTCGGGTCGGTTGATAGCGATGCGCGTGGTAATGGCGGAAACGGAAAATACAACAGAAAAACAAGAACCAATCAGGTTCCTACATTTAGGATACCATCCGTATGAAATACATTACTTAAATTAAAAGAGGGAATTATTGGGGTAATCGGTTGAGTTATCGGTTAGTTAATCAATTAAACGCATAAACTCTTTTCGCTTCCTTTTCCGCTGCCCGTTGTCATCAAGTACACATCCCAAATGTTTTGTGTTGCCCAGTGGTTTCTGACAATCGAGATATTAATTATTTGCATCCGTATCTGTAAGTAATTATCTTCATGGTTCGTTGTTGTTCTTTGAATTAGTTTAAAGGGATTATTACAATATAAACGATATATTACAATGTAATTTGCATATAAGAAACAGTTGAATTATATACGTATGCTATAGAGGGCTATGCTCGGAATTTCTCTGCAAGATGGAATCAAATATCATAATATCCACAGAAGAAATAAAGTGACCGATTTATCTAAATTGGTTGGTAATCTAAAGATGGATGAATTGGAATTGGATACTCTGTGTCTCCAAAAACGAAATTCTATTTTCGAAACGCTATTATGACTGAAAAACGCACTTTATTACATTAGGATGTAATAAAGTGCGTTTTTCAGTGGGTAAAAAAAAAAATTCTGTTCAGTCTGTCTGTTAGATAATAGAAAAATATTAGATGCTTAATTTTTTGCTAAAATTTAACAAGAAATGGCTTAGTTAATGGGCATTAAATTTGAGGAGTGGGTGCTCGCTACGTCACAACTACTTACAAAATGTACGTAGGTGTGACGTCATACGAAAAAATACGTGTTTAATATTCTTCAAAAATCTACTTGACATACAAATAAACTAAATTTAATTATCATCCCTATATAAGATGCAAAGGACCTGACCCTACGAATTGCCGGAAAAGGGAGCGTAGGCCTTCCATAAGATGAACCAACGATT